ATTTTGGGAGTTTGGGTTTAAATCTATCTTTTTTTTCTGTTTGTTTCATTTTTAAAAATTTATTTACTTATTCAAGAGCTGGGGTACAGGCCAGATGCGTGGGAGGGTGAGAGGATTCACCAGAGCCAGAGCGGGGAGCAGAACGGACAGACGGACCGAGGTACACTGCTGAGGGGAGCAGCGGGCGGCAGGAGAGGTCTGCGCGCCATGCGGGACCCTCCTCCAGTGTCTGGGGAGCAGCCGGGTTCAAACCGGTGCTGCGGAGGCTGCGGGCAGCTTCGCAACCCAGCGCTCAACCGCTGCGCCACCGGGGAGGCCCCTTACCTTATCATTTTGATGATATCACTTTGCATAATTTTTAGTGGCTGCTCTAGAGACTACAAATTACATTCTTAACTTTTCGATCTATTCAGAATCAACAATTATCTCTTCGAAGTGAATGCTGTGGTCTTGTCATGCTGTGGTTCCGTCCCCACCCCCCACGCCCTTCATGGCTACTGCACACACCTGAGGGCCCCGGGCGTCCACAGTCCTCCCTTATCTCCTGCTCCACTTTGCCTGCCCAGCTGCCTGCCGTGAGCTGTGTCTGAAAATATGATGGACAACAAAATATTTTTGGAGAGAGAAAACGTTCACGTAACTTGTGTTATGGACAATGTTACAGTTATCCTGATTGATAGTTAGCTATTGTTGTAATCTCTGACTTGCCTAATTCAGAAACCAAACGTCATAGGTGCACAAGAAAGCACAGCACCTTTAGGCTCAGTGCTGCCCCTGGGCTCAGGCATCCCCCTGGGCTCTTGGGACGTGTCCCCTGGACAAGGGGGGACCACTGTATGTTTGTGGACATTAAAAACGCCAGTCAGGGCCTCCCTGGTGGTGCAGTGGTTGAGCACTGGGTTGCGAAGCCGCCCGCAGCCTCTGCGGCGCCGGTTCGATCCCCGGCTGCTCCCCGGCCACCAGAGGAGGGTCCCACATGGCGCGCAGACCTCTCCTGCCGCCCGCTGCTCCCCTCAGCAGTGTCCTTCGGTCCTTCTGCCTGCTCTGCTCCCCGCTCTGGCTCTGGTGAATCCTCTCACCCTCCCGCGCTTCTGACTGTCCCCAGTGCTTGTTTAAATAAATAAATAAATCTTTAAAAAAATAATAATAAAAAAATAAAAATAAAAACGCCAGTCAATGTCATGGGTGCATTTATTTATTTGTTTGTTTGCTTTCAACTGTCTAGCGTGTTTCAAAGAACTTTGGAGGGGAGGAGAACACAGTGAGTTTCCCACATGTCTGCTTCTTTTCCCGCAGGAGACACCGGCAGGACGGCGTGCTCAGAAAGGAAGCAGAGACTGAGAAATAGAAACTAAACTCGGGGTGACACTGGGTCCTGCAGTACCAGGCCATCCCTGGAGTTCCAGCAGCTTGAGTCGACACAAGGCTCTCCCCGCTTTGCCCCAGGCTGTCTCTGTCACCTGCAGCTGACAGGTCCCCGAGGGCCAGGGAGGGGCGAGGGAGGCCAGGCTGATCTCTCGCTGGTCATGGTTTAAGTCGTATGCCAAGTTCAGAGACAGAATTGTGAAATTCAGTGGGATTTCAAGTCCAAACACCTTTCTTTTCGGTTTTTGATCTCTAGGTTAATTCCATTTACAAAGTCACGACGACGGGCAAGATTGGGACGCTTGCTGGTGGTTCTCCCCAGAAGCCCCGTGCCAGGCAGCTCTGGCACAGAGCAGGTGCCTCGCGGCCCCCTGGGCTGTGGTGCAGTTCTGTGTAGTCGCTGGTTTCGCGGCAGTGATGCCACAGGGCCTTCTCGCCCGAGCTGCCAGGGAGTCGGTGGCCTCTCTTTGCAGGCGATGTCGCGTCTACATGACACCTCGTGTTGTTTGCCAGGGACACACTTGCGGCTCCACGGCGCTGGCGGCAGTGATGCCGCAAGACCCTTACCCGGCTCCTTGGCACCCGCCGGCCACATCTCCTGACGCCTGGAGCTGTCCCCTCACCAGCCCCCGGCGGGTGAGCCCGGCCCGCAGAGGGAGGAGACCAGCTTGGGGCGTGCTGCCCGCGCTCTCAGCAGGGACAGGACGGAGCTGGCCCGCGGCACCCCCGCCTTGCAAGAGAGTCCTTGTGGTTTCCCCGCGTCTCGGTGAGTTGGGGGGCCATCTCTCCCGCGCCCGTCTCTGTCTCCGCATCACGCAGCGTCTCGTGCCTGCTCCATCTGGCCTCCGGGCGGACCCGCCTCTCCCCGGGCTCCTCGGGGGCCACAGCACATCGCTCGGGTCAGTGTGCGGGCGGGGGCGCAGGGGAGGCTGTCGGGGCACGGGGACGGGGGCGCTGTCGGGACCAGCCCCAGTCACACTCTGCAGGCTGCTCTGGGGTTGGGGCCGGGTGAGCCCAGACTGCGCAACACGAGGGCGGCGGGGGGAGCCCCAGTGTGCTCCTACCTTTGCTACGTGCACATGTCTAGGGGTGCCGGGTGCTGCCCCGTCACCCTCATCCTGGTGTGGTCACCGCTCCCCCCTCCGTGGCTCCCAGCAGCCCTGGGGATGCGCTGGGCCGCCGTCCTGCTCACCGAGTGGCCGTGTTTCCCGCCGCTCCACGACGCGGCCCTGGACTCCCTCTGGCCGCCCGCGCCGCCACCCGGGGCTCTCCATGGGCCGCGCCCTCTCTGGGCTGGGCAGGCCTCGTGTGCCCACACCCACTGGTCCTCGTCCTCGCTAGTCCTCCCGCCCGTCCCAGCTCGGTGCCCCGGGGCCCATCTGGCTGGCCGGGCTCCCCCAGGCCCCACCTTTGCGCGGACGCCCCGCCCGCCCGCCCGCTGCGTCCGCGCCTCTGAGCGGGCCTTTCCTTGTCACAGCAATGGACACTGGGGCCAGCTGCCCGCCTGCCCTGCCGCCTCTGCGCGCCCCGGCCCCGCCCCGCGAGCCTGACTCTCGTCTCTCGCGTCCGGCCGCCACGCAGGCGCTCCCCTGCCGTTGCCTGAGGCGGAGCCCGCTCCTCCCGGCCCGTGCGGCTGACCCTCGCCGTGGCCGGGTGTGGGCGCCCAGCGAGCCCCCGGCCCCCAGCCCTGCCGTCCTCTCTCGCACGCGCAGGCCAGGCCTGGGCTTCGGGCGGCCGGGACCGCGCCCTGACCCAGGAGCAGTGCTGAGCGCTCCTGGCGAGGAGATGCGCACCCTGCTCTCGCGCTCAGGGACTTGGGTTTCCTCTCACTGCCTCTATGTGTGGGGTGTGTGTGGTGTGCGATGTGTGGTGCGTGTGATGTTGCAGGTGTGTGGTGTGTGGTATGTGGTATGTGTGGTATGTGTGTGATGTTGTGGAGTGTGTGAGTGGTATTGTGTGTGGTGTGTGTGTGGGGATTGCAGTGTGTGTTTGGTGTGTGTGGTATGTGTATGTGGTGTGTGTGATGTCGTGGGGTGTGTGTGTTGTGTGCAGGGTTGGTGTGTGGTGTGGTGTGTGGTATGTGTGGTGTGTGTGTGCGAGTGGTGTGTGGTATGTGTAGTGTGGTATGTGTGGTGTGTGTGTGTAGTGTGGGGGGGTGTGTGTGGTGTGTGTGTATGGTGTGGTATGTGTAGTGTGTGGGGTGCATGTAATGTGGTATGTGTGAGGTGTGTGTGTGGTGTGTGGTATGTGTGTGGTGTGTGTGTGTGGTGTGTGGTGTGGGTTGGTTTGTGTGTGTGGTGTGTGTGTGTGGTGTGTGGTGTGTGTGAGGTGTGTGTGGTGTGTATGTGTGGTGTGTGTGGTGTATGGGGTGTGTGGTGTGGGTTGGTGTGTGCGTGTGTGGTGTGGTGTGTGTGGTGTGGTGTGTGTGGTATGTGGTGTGGGTTGGTGTGTGTTGTGTGTGTGGGGTGTATGTAGTGTGTGGTGTGGTGTGTGTGGTGTGTGTGGTGTGTGTGGTGTGTGGTGTGTGATGTGTGTGTGGTGTGTGATGTGTGTGTGGTGTGTGATGTGTGTGGTGTGGTATGTGATGTGTGTGTGGTGTGGTGTGTGTGGGGTGTGTGTGGTGTGGGGTGTGAGGCGTGATATGTGTGTGGTGTGTGATGTGTGGGGTGTGTGGGGTGTGTGGGGTGTGTGGTGTGGTGTGTGATGTGTGTGTGGTGTGTGATGTGTGTGGTGTGTTGTGTGTAGTGTGTGGGGTGCATGTGATGTAGTATGTGTGTGGTGTGTGTGTGTGATGTGTAGGGTGTGGGGTGTGCAGTGTGTGTGGTGTGGTGTGTGATGTGTGGGGGGTGTGATGTGGGGTGTGTGTGTGTGATGTGGGGGTGTGTATGATATGGGGGGCGATGTGTGTGATGTGTGTGGTGGGGTGTGTGTGATGTGTGGTGTGTGTGTGGTGTGTGTGGGGGTGTGTGTGTGAGGGGGGGTGTGTGTGTCTGAGCAGGGTGGACGAGCCCTGGTCTTGGTAAACTGAGGCCGGCGGGCGCTCACGTGGGGCTCCCCAGAGGAGCCTGGGCGGGCCCTGGCCTGCCCAGCGTGGGGTGCCCTGGGCCTGGAAGGGTTAAGAGACGGGGCGCCTGCGGGGGCGGGAGCCCCCCTCACCAGTCTCGGGGCCAGGAGGCAGCGGCAGCGCGTGGCAGCGTTGATCCATCTGTGCGGGGTGAGGGCCCCCGGCCGGGCGTCTGGGCGCGGGGAGGGCCAGGCGGGGAGGGCCGTGGGGCGCGGGGAGGGCCGTCGGGGTCCCCGCCCGAGCGGGGCGGGTAAACTCCGAGTGACCCTGAGTCCGACCACAGGGCGGCGCGAGCAGGAGGAGCCCCTCCCGCCGCCTCCCGTCGCCTCCCTGCGCCCGCCCGCCGCCCGGAGGAGCCGCAGACTCTGGGCACGGAGGGGCCGCGGCGGCCCAGGTCTGAGACGGCCCCGGCCCTCGCCCGCCTGTGAGGGGGCGGCACAGCCCGCCTGGGCTGGACGAGCACCCCGCGGCACAGCCGCCCCGGCCGAGGGAGGCCCCGGGCCCGCCATGCGCCTCTCCCCGGGCGGCGGGAGCTAGCGGGACGTGGGCTCGGGCGCGGCCGCTCGGCACCATGAGGAGGCTGCTGGCCGCCTGGCTGCTGCTGCTGGGCAGCGCCCAGGTGAGGCCCGCCCAGCCGGAGGAGCGGGGCCCCCCGGGGGCGGCCAGCGGGCCCACTCGCCCCACGCTGCTTCCCGCGCAGGTGCGCGGAGCCCCGGCCAGGCCTCTCGCCCACCCAGGTAAGGGACGCGGCGCGCTGCCCTCCCCTGCCTTCCGGCATGGCTGGGCCGTCCGGTGTGTGCCCAGCTGGGCGGGGTCCCTCCCGGCCCGACCCGGGGCTGCCCGGCCGCCTGTCGCCCATGAGTGCCTGGGGTCCCGTGCTGGGGTCCCGTGGCTGGGGAGACACGGGGCCCGGCACCCACAGCCCTGCCCACGGCCCCGGCAAGGGACTGGCAGGCGCTGGGCGCTACCCCCAGGGTGGCTTGGCCGGTCCCCGCGCTCGGGTGGGGTCAGCCCGTGCCCACACTGGGGAGGAGGCCCCCTGGGCCCTGGCCCGGCCCTGCCAGCGGGTGGTCTTGTGGCCAGCACGGGAAGCAGGGACTCCGCGTTGCGGGGCAGAGGCCGGGGCTGCCCGTCCAGCCCAGGGGTGCTCCGGGAGGGAGGGGGGTGTCGTTGATGGGCCACAGACACAGCCTGTGTCCAGGAGACCCTGGCCCTGCAGCATGCTCACGCCCGACGGGAGCTGGACCTTGTGGGCCCCACACCCACACGCGGGCACACACCCGGGCACACACGCGGGCACACGTACCCACACCATGCCCAGCCCGTGCCCTCCGCAGCCCACGTCCAGGAGGTCGGGCTTCGGTTCCGGGAACTGGGGTGGAACAGACGCTGCTCGGCGTCCAGCCCCTGGGAGGCAGGCGGCGGGGTGGCAGGGCGCGAGGACGGGGGCGGCAGGGGCCGGGGCTCCTCCCCGGGTCCACTGTCTCACCTGTCCAGCCCCGCCAGCTCCTCCGCCTGCCCACGTGAATGCGGCCCTGTGTCCCCCTCCGGCCGCCTCCGGCCTGGCGAGGCTGCGGGAGACGGTCTCCCCGTGGACGTGGGCCCCGCGTCCTTTCTCTTTGCTGCCCGCCAGACCCCCCCGCCTTGCTCTTCTTCCCTGACACCCTCTCCCTCCCTCCCCGACACCCCTGGGCTCACCTCCTCCCCGTGGCCCACCAGCCTCGGGGCCCTGTGTCCGCCTCGGCCCACTCCGGCCCGGCTCTCCCGTGCTGGGTGCTGGGGCACCTGCCGGGCGGGGTGCGGGCCCCGGGAAGCGAGCCCTCGAGACAGCCGAGGGGCCCGAGGGGTTCCGGCTCCCGGCCGGCTGCCTGGGCCGTCCACGCCGCCGGGGCTCACTCTCCCCCTGCAGCCAGCGCCTGCTTCTGCGGGTGGTTCTCAGCCGTGCGCTGGCGCCTGGGGCTCCCCTGCCCTGGACGGGGCCTTCGTCCTGGGGCTGTGTGGTAGCAGGAGGGCAGAGGCGCCCCCATTCACAGCTGGCGAAGGGGAGGGGAGCGGGGCTGGCAGAGTCTGCATCCCCCCAGTCACCTTCGTGCCCTGGGTGGCCCCTGCCGGCCCTGTCCCCCAGAGGACGCAGGACGCGCGATGGGACACCAGCCCGGGGTGGGCAGTGCCGGTCGCTAAACAGCCCCACAGTGAGTGGCTTCCGTGGCGTCGCTGCCAGGGGTCCCCGGGGCGCCTGGCCCAGGGCGAGCACCCCATCCCCCTGCCGGCCTGCACCCAGGGCGTGACGGGCACGCGGGGCACCGAGTGGGTGGGCAGCCTCCACTCCCCGGGGCGGACGGGCTGGCGGGAGTGGACGTGGGCAGGCCCGCACCAGGCGGGGTCCTCGGGCAGCGGTAGAGGCTCCGTTGTGCCTCCTGCTCTGGCTCCGCCTACACGGCCTGGAGGGCTGCAAAGCTGGACGTCTGAGGGGCACGCCGGGCACGCCCGCCTGCTGACTTGCACACTCACGCGCGCAGGGACTGTCTGGGTGTGGCTGTGGCACAACAGCTGACTGCACGCGTCCACGGGAGAATCACCGGGGGGACGGGCGGCATTCCAGGGCCGGGCCCGGGCGCCCGCGGGCTGAGACCCCTGGCCTTGCAGTGGGTGGCCCAGAGCCCAGGCTGGCGGGTGGGCGCGGGGGCGAGGGCGCTGCCCACACGCTCCCAACGTGGCCCTCCAGCGGCAGGACGGCAGGAGGGGCTGGGAGGAGCCCCGGAAGGAGGAGGCGGAGGGCTTGGCGGCGTCTTTGTGAGTGTCCACGGCCCCGCCTCTCGGCGTCCAGCCTGACTGACCACCCCCGCCGCAGGAGGGATGGTTCTCCCAGAGCCACTGCGGCGTGGGGCGGGCAGCGGGGGGCACCACTGGTTCGGCTGGGCCTGGTGCTCCACCCGGAGCAAGCCCCCCCGCCCCCTGCAGACCCCAGTCCTAGCGCTCACCCCGTGGGGGCCGCGCCCAGTTCTCGGCGGCCGCCTCTGGGAAGATGGCAGCGGGGAGCGCGTCACCGCCGAAGGCTGGGGGGCGAGGGCTGGGGGGCCGTGTCGGGGAGTCGGAGACGACTGGGTGTGAAGGACGCAGGGACGAGGGGTCGGGACCAAACTCGGGGTCCCGGAGCCCCGTGCCTGAGACTAGCTACCGGCCTGTCTCCTGCCGTTGAGTCACGCTCACGGCGATGGCGCCGGCTGCAGCAGGACACACGCGTCCCTCGAGCGCACACAGGCCAGGACGCGGCCGGTGGGCAGTGAGGCTGGGAGGATGCACGCCCGGCGCGGCCCGCCCCCCCCAAAGCCCCCCACGTGCCAAAGCCCCCCAACAGCTCTGGTCTTCCTCCTCAGGCCACCAGCCGCTCCGGGCCGGCCGGGACGTGCTGCCCAGCCTGGCGCCAACGGGCGTGCGTCCACTGCTGGTTTTCTCTGGTTAGGAGGTGTCGCCTGTTCTGTTGGCGCGTGCGCCCCTGGAGGAGACGCACCCCCGTCTTTGGTCTCCTGCGAGCTCTTTGCAGCCTGCTGTGCCCTGAGCCAATTCGGACGCCTCGCGGCCTCCGCGGCTCCTGCTGTGCGTGGCAGCCCCGAGCCCGCTCTCCTTCCCAGGGCGATCTTGTAACCGGGGCTGAAGCCAAAGACAGTTACAGGGCAGGGGGAGGGGCACCCAGAACCCCCCAAAAAGCCAGTTTACAGCTCTAAATAAGTTCTGTCATCCGCCACGTCAAGACAAAACATGCTCAGTGCGTGCGCGAGGCCTTGAACGGAGAGGAGCTGCAGCACAACGGGCGTGCGGCAGAGACGGGGAGGGACACGGTTTCCAAATCCAGACCCGAAGTCTCCTGTCCCCCGTGCGTGGACGCCCAGCCTGACATGGGCGGCAAAGCAGGGCCGCTGAGGCCCAAGCGCTGCCCCCGGCAAAGGCCCCTCTGGGGGGGCCCGCAGGAAAGGGGCAGAGGGCCCCGGCGGGGCTGGGAGGAAAGGAGCAAGATGAAGACCCAGATCAGCGCTGCCGGGGTCACCTCCACGGGCCTCCCCGCGTCTGCTTCGCTGGTCCAGGACCAAGACCTGCTCCCTGGCCTCCCCCAGGCTCCTCCTGCGTCCCCTGCTCCTCCTGCCCTCGGCCCCCTTCAGGCTCCTCTCTGGCTTCCCGCCGCCCTCCAGCTCCACCCTCCTGGGGTGGGGCAGGGGACCTGGAACCTCCCCTCGTCCTGGGGACCACCCACTTACAATTTAACATTTTTATTCTTTTTCCCCAAGGGTTTGAGGTCTTGGCTTCGGCCTCCCACTACTGGCCGCTGGAAAACGTGGACGGGATCCATGAGCTTCAGGACACAACTGGAGGTAGCGGGCGGTGGGGGCCGAGGCCACAGCTGGGGCTGGGCGCAGGGTGGGGCCGCCGCTGGGTCCTGCGCCCGCAGCTGCCCGTCAGGGGCGCGTCCGAAGTATCTCACCAGGACGGGCCTCCCACGCAGGGAGGGTGGGTGTGGCTCCGGGCCTTCCGGGGCGTGCTCGGCCCAGCAGCCTTTGGCAGAGGCAGGGTTCTGCGGCACGGGTGGGCCGACCTGTGACTGCAGGTGCACCATTCCGGGGGGGGGGCCTGGCTCCACTCCCGCCCACGGCCGTGCCCGCTGGCCCGCACCCATGCTCCCACCAGCTGCCCCGCTTCACACCTCACTCTCCCCACCAGCAGGGCCTGCGGCCACTTCAATCTGCATTTCCTGTGACCCCTGGTGTGAGAGACAGCTGATGCCAACGTCGGCATTTACAGCCGGGTGCTCAAAGCTCAGCTGTCTCGACCGCCATGGAGTCTTAAAAAAGACCCACAGGGCTGACGGCGGCTTCCACAGCAGCTGCTGGGGTCCTTCTGCCCCGACCCCGCGTGCTGCCACAGGCCCCCCTGAGTGCTGTGAGTCGAGAAGTGTCCGTGTCGCTGCGTCCCCCGTGGGCTGGTCACCGGGCAGCCGAGCTTCTCTCCCCGGGACCAAAAGGCCCGTGTGGGGCCTCGGCCGCAGCCAGCTCAGGCCCATAAATGGCCTCCCTGGTTATGACCCGGTTGCTTTTCTTGGGGCCTTTGTTTTCGAGCCTTTGGAATGATCCTCCTTCGAGGGGAGACGCCTGCCGGGAGAGCTCGCTGCCCAGGGCCAGCAGCTGGACTGTGGCTGTCTGGGGAGCAAGAGCCGGAGGAACCATCGGTGTAATCCCCCCTCCCGCCCTGAGCCCAGCTCGCTCCTGCAGAGTAAATCAGCGCTTGCTGATGTTTTGGCACGCGCCGCCTGGGGGACTCTCTTCCCGTAGTTACTGGGGCACAACTGCGTTGCGGCTGAACCTCGCTCACCAAACACGCCGACTTCCCGTGACGCTCGCAGCGCAGCCTGCCCCGCATGGCCAGCGATGGGCCCTGCGCCCCTCTGTTCCCGGGGGGCGTCCCTCCGGCCGGGCTCTGCCACACGGCTCGGCCCGAGACCGGCTCCCTCAGGAAGACGGAGACTGGACCCCGTCGGCCCGCGCTGCGGGGAAGCCCGACGGCCGGGGAGTCATTTCCCGCGTGTCAGCTTCGTTATTTGTTGCCAAAGCCTCTGTCGCACGTCCGTCTGTGTCCGCGTCACACGGTGTCTCGTGCCTGCTCCATCCGTCCTCGGGACGCGTCCAGCCTCCCGCGGGGCCCCTCAGGGCCGCAGCACATCTCTCAGCTCAGTGTGCGGGCAGGGGTCGGGCCCAGGGGGCGCCTTCGGGGCCAGCCCCTAGTCTCGCCGCTCTGGGCCAGGGCCGGGCGAGCTATGATGGGCTGAGCAAACACGAGGGTGGGGTGCGGGGGGCGCCGCCGGGGAGGGGCCGCACACGCTCAGTGGAGAGATGTGCGGGCGTCTGTGTGTTGTCTCACTCACGTGTCCCGCTTTCTCTTGTCGTTTCACCCAGTGTCACGAACCCACCACCTCACTGTGCTCCCTCCCCATAACTCCACCTTTGCCCTGGCCGGCGGCTCTGCCTACTCAAACCTCTCTGCAACTGTCGGTGAGCACCGCCCCTGCTCCGCCTCGGCCGCTGTGGCCGCGCCGCCCAGGCCGGTCGGTTCCGTGTGAGCTCACGGGAGCTGGGCCGGCACCGAGCCAGTCCAGGAAGGGGCAAGGCCCGGGGCTAGGGGACTGCCCGGGGCTCGCTCCAGACACGGCCTCGCCTCGGAGCCGCCGGCGGAGGTGGACACGTGACCCGGCCAGCTGCTTGCCTGCAGAACCAGACAGACAGCAGCGCGCCCGGGCTGGAAATAGCAGTTGTTTGGATTTTAGAGCGGATGCTACTCTAGGGGAGGACAGTGTGCCCTCTTGGTGGAAAACTGAGGTTATTGCAAAACACCTCGTCAGAGCTATGGTTTCTCACAGACCCGGAAACCTGCATTTCTTCTGTGGCTGGGATTTATTTAAACCGTAGAAGCTGGTTTGTACCAGACACTCCCAGAGTCACTTAGCACCTCCCAGAGTCCCCGTGGCGCCCTGCTCACTTCAGAGCGAGAAGGTGGGGCCTCCCTTTTGGGGTGGGGGTGGGGAGAGGGCCGGGCCTGGGGGTCGCAGGGAGGCAGCTCAGCTCCTCCGGCCTGGCCTTTGCCCTCCCAGGCAGCCTGGCGTGGGTCTGACCTGTCTGTTCAGTTGGGCAGAAGTGAGGGGCCCGAGACGGCGAGGATCGGGGCCCACCTTGGCTCTCCAGTGACTGAACCGGGGGCCTGGGCTGGGGTCGCAGGCCAGGGTCCCGGCCAGCAGCACATGGCAGAGGATGTAGCTGGCGACTGGCCCCAGGGGACACACATGTTCTGTGGCCTTCGCTTCACAGTCCGCTCTTGTCTGTGCTGTGAGCCACTGGCCAGCTCTTCGCCATCACCGCTGCCCGTGGGCAGGAGGGCTGCAGGCCGGGCTGTGTGGACCTTCCCTGCGCTCCCTGCTGGAGGCGGAGGGCAGCCCTGCAGAGTTGCGGCCCCACATCTCGGGGTGCTCGGGGCGGGTTCCCGCTCAGACATGCGCCCACCTCCCTGGAGCGTGATGGCCGCGGGCTCTGAGGCGGGAGGCGTGGAGTCGGGGGGGAGAGGTGGTCGGCCCCTGGGGAGGCCACTGCCCCGGACCCAGAATCCCCCACAGGGACCAGGTCATGGCGCCTCCCCTGCCGCCCAGCACTCAGGCGAGCACGTCGTCTATGACTCGGCGTGAAGGGCTGTCGCACCTGACGCTTCACGACGGCACCCCCACGCCCGCGGCCCGAGCCGGCGCCTGTGCACCCCGGGGAGCGGAGCGCGAGTCCCCCCAGCGTGGCCGCCTGCTAACGTGTGCTCTCGGCTCTCCCTGCCAGACATCGTGGAGGGGAAGGTGGACAAGGGCATCTACCTCCAGGAGGAGAAGAGGCTGACGCTGCTCTACTATGGCCGCTACAAGACGTCCTGCATCAGCAACCCCGCCCGCTGCGGGCCCCACGGTGAGCAGCTCCCGGCGCCTCTGGTCAGGGGCTCGGCCCTGGGGTGCAGGTGTGGGGGCCTCCCCCAACCTGCGGCAGGGCCCCAGACTCGGGGTCAGACAGCTGACCGTGTAAGCACCAACCTCCATGGGGGCGTGTGGGCTTCAGTGTGCCCAGCAGTGAGGCCGGGCCCAGAGGGGCCCATGCGACCGGAGCGGGAGCAGAATGGAGACATCAGACCTCCCGCAGGCCGAGTCGGGGCCCCTGAGGCCCAGCCGAGTGGCCAGTGCGGCTGCCACGCAGGGAGAGCCCTGGGGCTCTCCACCACCAGAGCTGAGCTCCAGGCTGGGACGTGCGGCCTGAGCCGATGTCTGCGCCTGAGGTCAGAGCTGACCTTGCGCCTCAGACCGGACTCCAGGAAACTCCTCTGCCCCAGCGTCTTGTGATTTTCTGCATGGTGGGTGATAACAGGCGCCAGGGAAAGGCGAGGGCACCTTTAGGACGCACAGGAAAGAGCCTGGAGCTCGGCGGGCCCATGAGTGTGGCTGGGCCGCTGGCTGGGGGGGCGTGAGCACCCGAGAGCAGGGCATGCGGCTGCCCCTCTGCGCGTCAGCAGTGACCGTGCCTTCCTCCCTCAGGCGTCACCTTCTCCTTCTTCTGGAAGACACAAGGGGGACATTCAAGGCCTGCCCCATTGGCCTACGGGGGACAGGTCATTTCCGACGGCTTCAAAGTCTGCTCCAGCGGCGGCCGGGGCTCGGTGGAGGTGTACACGCGGGAGAACTCCCGGACATGGGGGGCCACCTTCAGCCCGCCAGGTAGGGGCCTCTGCGGGTGGGGGGCTGCTGATGGGGGACCACCAGCCCCCAGCTGGGGGCCTCCGCGGAGCTCCCTGCCCTCGGGACCCCCAGAGGGCTTGCCCTGGCCCTGGCCCATGCTCCCACTTCAGGGGCAGCAGGGCAGGGGCTGTGACTCCCTGGCCCCGGCCCTCCGGCCCGAGCCAGCCTGCACCACGCAGGTCCCTGAGGCACAGCCTGGGGTGGCAGGCCTCCGGGGTGGCCGTGCTGGACACGGCTAATGGGCTGCAGCAGGATGGGGCTCGAATGGGGGTGCCCCTCCTCCCCGCACCTCCTGTCCTTGCCACCTCCTCCTCCTCCCCTCTGTGGTGCACAACTCGAAGATGTTTGAGACACGGCATGAGAAAGCTTCCGGGCAAGGAGGTGGGGCAGCCGGGCTGGAGGAGGCCGGGTGCGGTGCGGGGGTGCTGGGCCTGGAGGAGGGGGTGGAGGGCTGGCTTGGCAGGAGCTCTGAGGACCCCTCTCTCCTGATCACCTCCAGTGTGAGGTCAGAGGTGATGGGTAGGCGGTGGGGAGAGAGTGGAAGCGGAGCCTGGAGAAGGGGGCGGCAGAGAAATGTATTGGGGTAGCACTGAGGCCCCTTCGGGCTGGAGGCAGAGGGCAGCGGGCGGTGCAGGGCCGATGGAGGCCTGGAGCAGCCTCCTCCGGGTGGGACAGGTCCGCGGTGTTTGTTGATGAGGGACTGGAGCCCAAGAGCTGGGTGTTGGCTGCGGGACCTTGGGCCCCTGATGTACCCTCCCGTGCCTCAGTTTCCCCCCCACCACGTGGGGCTGTTGGCAGTGCTCCCACAGGAGTCCAGGCGTGTGAGGAGCTGGGCGGGCACCACGTGGCGGTGGAGCCTGGAGGTGTGTGGGTGGCACCATGGGCTCACTGCCCCCCACTCCCCCGGAGAACTCACGTGTCCCCTGCGTCCCTGCCCCACGGACCTGCCTGCCCCGTCCACGGCTCTCAGCTCCTCCTTAAGCGGGGTGGTCTCCGTGCTCGGCTGGCGTGCCACACGGCTCTCTGGAGGCCCGATCTCATTTCCTCTGGATGGGTATCCCGCGAGGACGGGCAGCGCCCATGGCAACCGCCTCGCTGCTTCCAGAGGGGCCTGCAACAGTCACCTCACCTCCTCGCCAACACTTGTTCTTTCCTCTTTCCCGCGGTAACCACTCGAGAGGTCCCAGCTGGTTGCATTCTGAACATTAGCTGCTGATCAGCTCCTGAACTGAAGATGTCTCCTCCACCCCATAGGTCGTCTTTATTTTGTTCTTTCTTTCGGTGTGTAGAAGCTTTTTGGTGAGATGTAGTATTGCTCACTAATTTTTGAATTTTTCCTTGTGCTTTTGATGTGATATCAAAAAACTCATTGCCATGACAATTAGTTGGGTTTATTTCTTGACAATTGCCATGACAATTAGTGGTTTTATTTCTTGACTCTCAGTTCTGTTCTATTCATCGATGTGTCTGTTTTTATGCCAGCACCATATTGTTTTGATTACCACAGGTTTGTAGTATAGTTTGAAGCTAGGAAGGGTGATGCCTCCAGCTTTGTTCTTTCTTGGGATTGCTCTGGCTGTGGGGCTCTCTTCGTGTGCCACGTAAACTCTGGGATTGTTTTTCTTCCTGTGATACATCAGTGTCTTGTAATTTTCAGTGTTTAGATCTTCCACATCGTTGGTTAAATTTTTCCTAAGCATTTGATAATTTTTGACGCTCTCATGAATGGGCTGTTTTCTTAGTTTCATTTTTTTTTGGTTTCTTTTTAAGATCTCTCATTGTTAGTGATTCCAGGCAAAACCACAGGGAATGGACACTGATTCTGGGTGAAACAGAGGCACACCCAAGCTATTGGGGGGGGAAATCCACTCCAGGGGTTCTTGCCGCCAACACGCATAAAGGCACAGCAGTCACGCTCCAGTGTGTGCCGAGGTCTTTAACTGGTGAAAGGGCAAGAGAGAGAAAAGGTTTAGGGGAGAGAAGGATTTGAAAATACAGATTTCCAGTCGCTCCAAAATCATCCACCCCTCATGGGCCAAAGTTCAGCCAAACAGGCAGGCCCAGAGCCAATGGCCCTGGTCCAGAGGCACAGCTGCCCAGAGGCTGAGCCCAAGGCCTCTCCCAGCAGGAACCACACGCAACGGGTTAGGCAGGCCCCAGGGAGCTTAGAGCCAAAATGTACCTCCCAGGCCAAATAGAGGGCCATGCCGGCGGCCGCCACCATCTGCAGAGAGCCAGATCCAAGCACCAAAGCCACGGAGAGCCGTCTCCCCCTCCCCACCCAACACGTGGCTGGGCCCCTCCCCCTCCCTCCCGAAGCTTCCCCCGCCCCACCCCCTCCAGAACCTGCTGCCTGCCGCGCTGGGAACTGCGGTGTGGTGGCTGAAGACTGGAGGGCTCCCAGGGGGCCACCACGCCTGTCCCCTACCAGCCCGGACTGCGGCCACTCCAGCCGCCTCTGGCTGCAGGCTGTGGAGCTGCAGCTGCTCCCTGCACGCTGGCTGTGTCCTGCCACTGGCTGGACCCCCCAACTTGCCCCAGCAGTGGCTGTGGTGACGTGTCAGCATCTTCTCCAGGCTGCGGCCGCCGTAACCCCAGGCAGGGTCTCTGTATTGAGCTGAATTGTAAGTGGGTGTGAGGTCTGAGTCTAGAGGGGCTGCGTGTGGGTTTCCCGCTGTCCCAGGGCCATTTGACGGAGTTGACTGCTTGCCGGCCTATGCTGGCCTCTCTATTCCTTTCCATTCACCTGTTTGTTCTTTTGTCAGTTCCACACTCTCTTGGTCACTAGCGCTTCATAGCGAGTCCTGCAGCTGGGCCGCGTCCGTTCTGATTTTGTCTTCCCTGTAATACCGTTCAGCTATCCTGGGTCCTCGCCCTCGCAATACAAACTTTAGACCCATCCTGCCCAAATGCAGATCGAGTTGGGAGAACTGGCTTGGCGACAATCTCAAAGCTCCCGGCCCCTGGGCACGGCCATCTCTCCATTTATTCAGCTCTCGTTTAATTGTTCGCCAAAGCCTTGTAGTTGTTTTCATAGGGATCTCACATCTTTTTACTAGAGTAATACCTGAGTTTTAATTTTGGGGGGTGTTCAAGTAAATTTTATGCATTTTAAGTCCAAATGCCACTTGTTTGTTGCAGCCAGATGAGAGAGTGGCCAAGTCTCCTGAATTATTTCTCTTCTCTCCTGCAGCGTGGCTGGGACTGCCTGTTAGTTCCAGAGACTTTTAAAAATAGATCCTCTCAAGTTCTCAACATAAACAGTCATGTCATCTGAGAACAGTTTTATTTCTTCTTTCTAAATCTGTGTAGTGTCTCTCTTTCGGTCGTACTGCACTTTCCGGGACGTCTGGCACCGAGCTGAGAGGGATGGGGGGGACCTCTTGCTCTCGCTGCTAGCCGTGCTGGCTTCTGCAGCTGGGCTTGTGGTTGGTGCTTCTATCCTGCTTGCTGCCACATATTCTAATTATCGCTTTTGCCTCTAGCATTTTAATTTGGGCATCCTAATTTAAAATAGTAAAGTGTCTCTTTGAACTGCTTTTGGAATTTCGGGGTGGAAGCATTTTTTTCCCTGTGCTCCAGGGCCCTGAGGAAAGCCAGCTCTGCGTTCGGACGTGTGTAAGGACTTAGCCATGTGGGCGTGACCCGCTGCCTGGAGGAGGGAGGGGGCGGCCGGCAGGGCCACCAGCCCGAGCCCCTCCCACATGCGACCCTTGCTCTCCCCAGGCCCCTACTGGACGCATGTCCTGTTCACGTGGAAGCCCAAGGAGGGCCTGAAAGTGTACGTGAACGGGACCCTGAGCACCTCGGACCCGAGCGGCAGCGTGTCGCGCGTGTACGGCGAGCCCAACGGCAGCCTGGTGGTCGGGTCCGAGCAGGACCAGGCCAAGCGCTACGAGAACGGCGCCTTCGACGAGTTCATCATCTGGGAGCGCGCCCTGACGCCGGACGAGGTCGCCATGTACTTCACCGCAGCTGTCGGTTAGTGGGGGCGTGGGTGCCCCAAGTCCCGCCTGTCCCCGCCCATCACCCCCCACCCCGGTACTCAGCACCGTGGTCCCAGGCAGGTGCTGGGGAGCCCAACCCTGTTCCCAGAACGCCCCTGGAGAGCTGGCAGGGACGGCAACCCCACCGCCGTGTGAGGTGTGTGGCGGCTGCGGGCGTGCGGGGCAGCACCGGGCAGGGCGCTTGGCCGCAGGTGCGTCCTGTTGCTCGTCCCCAGGCCAGACTTGCCCCCAGGAGGCACCCCGTGCTCAGGGCGGGCCTGTGGCACTGGCCGCCTTGGGCCCGGGCTTGGGAGTCTTTCCCTTTCACGATACCAGATCCTTAGCTCAGCCACCCCGGTGCGTGCAACCCCGCGGCCCTGACCCCACCCACGCACCCTGCGGATCACCCGTGCCCGCGGCACTGCCTGCCCCACTGCCCGCTGGGCCTGCGAGCATGTCCTGTCTGTGGCTTGCTCCTCTGGACACCCCACCAACGTGGGGGCCCTCACACGGGCCCTGAGGTCAGTCTCTCCCCATCAGTGCTCTCCGCTGACCACGTGAAGCAGCCGCCCGGCATGTGTGAGGGTGGATGGCTCGAGGGGTGGGGGCAGGTGCCTCTCAGCCGCCTTTAGGTCTGGTCCTCTTTCCTCCTGCAGTTCTGCTTTCAGTCCGCTCGCGCATAGGCGCAGTTTCTCTGTTTTCACATTAGCCTGCCGAGAAGACAGGCCTGTGTGGCAGGAGCCCACCGGGGCGGTTGTGGCACTGAGGCCCTGGCGCTGAGGTTCTGGTGCTGAGGCCCTACGGTCACCATTTCCGCGTCCGAGAGCCACTGAGCTGGGAGGGCGCAGAACGTGCTGCTGGTGGAGCTGGGTCCAGGCCACCCCAGCCTCGCCCAGTGCAGAGAGAAGGAGGCCAAGAAGGACACTGGGCCGGGCCTCAGAGGGCGCTGTGCAGCCCCCTGTCCCCCTGTCGGTCTCTCCCCGAGGACGCATCCTCATTCACGGAGTGACAGAGGGTGAATGCCATGTCCTTTCAAGGAGGACACCCATCACCGCATTTACCGCCCCGGCCCAGAGGTTTGTCCCTTGGAGAACAAGATGCACCTGAGCTGGGAGGCCCGGGCGAAGCTGCTGCCTCACCACTCACTGATTATCAGCGCCAGGCACAGCAGGCCAGGACGCCCCGGGCAGGCTGCGGGACGTGGAGCGCATGGAGGCCGCTGCCTGAGGCCCTGGCAGGCCTGGGGGCGTCTCACGCCAGCGCCAGGCTAACCAGCACCGGCTGAGGTGTTCAGACAACTGCACTGAAATCTGCTGCCTCGGGCCTCTGGGCCCTGTCGGCACATCGGGGGCGGAACCAGCCTGTGTCTGCGGAAGACCTCTGCGCTGGGCCTCATGCGGGCTGGGCGCTGAGGCCTGCTCTGGGCCAGCTAGCAGGGGCGCCTCTTCCAAGCCAGTTAACCGGGCAGATGGGCGACCTTTCTCGTCCCCCCAGGGGCAGCGCTGGCCCCTCTGCCCGCCTGTAGACACCCGAGGGAGCTGCAGCGACGCCCGAGCCGTGTGGTGTGGCAGGCGCCTGAGAAGACGAGAGACCCGCATGGACGGTCCCCATCTGGCATCAGGGGGCCTGCAGCAGGCCCGCCAGCACGCAGACTGCACCTGCCCCCAGCCTCCGTGGCCGTCGCCCGGGCTGCTCTGGTGGCCGGGCTGACTGTCGCCCTTCATCTGTGGCACGCTGGAGCTAAGCGGCGTCTCCGTCACACTGTGGCGCTCGGGAGTGACTGTCACCCCGGCTTGGACACAGAGTGTTGGGGCTCCAGGGGCGTCACCCCTACCTCACACCAGCCACCCAGCCCTGCCCCAACCCAAGGACAGTGACTCCTGCAGTGACGAGGGGTGACAAGAGGCCCTTTCTCAGCTCGTCTAAAGCGCTTGCAGGGGCCTCCCGAGGAGTGGAAGGTCGGGATAGGCCTGCATCACTGGGAACCACCGAGATGAGGTGTGGCTGGGCGGCCACGGAGGGAGGACGCGTCGTGGCTCGGCCCTGGGCCTGGGCGTCCTCACTGTTCCTCAGCGGCGTCTCAAAGAGAAATGACTGGAAGTGTCAGGGTTCAAGGGCTCAGGGCGACTTCCCCATCACTCTCTGGGCCTGTGGGATGGACACCGGTCCGGGCTGAACACCCACTGCCTCTCTCTACACGGTCCAAGGCCCCCGCAGCCGCTCTTTTGGTTTATTACTTATTTGAAATTAGCAAAAGTTGGTATAAAATCGTCTTTCGATGATGATTTGCATGAAGAGTGTTCCACAGCGGTTTAGACTATAAATGGAAAGATAATTGACCTGGGGAATCCACACCACCCGCTCTCTAAGCTGATTTACCGGCCCGTTATCTTCGCGGCCACATTCCCACGTGACCGTTCTCGAGTCTTCCTTGGCGCGTCTGAGCTGGTCAAGTCTGGAATCAGGCAGATCTTCCTCAGGGTGAAAGGTGACCGCGTTTTTGTCCCTAACCGAGCCTTCTCTGTGTCTCCAGGGAAGCACGTCCTGCTGTCTTCCACACCAGCAGGCATCCTCGCGACCCCCACGGCAGACACACCGGTGAGTGGGTGCTTCTGCCATCTTCCCGCGGCCGCCTCACTGCTGGCCGGCCTGCCGGCCCCAGAAACACCACAGCCGCCCGGCCTCCCGGGGCGCCTGGGAGACGGAGGCGGAGGAGTTCTGACCACGCTGACTCCCCACGCCCCGCGGTGGCAAGGGCCCGCTCAGCTGCCGTGCTGGCCTCCAGCTGCAGGAGTGAGGGGCACTTCCTGGGATGAGCGTGCAGCCCTGAGCCAGCTGGGGGTCACACCCCAGGCTGGTCGCTCTCTGTGTCTTGGCCTGGAGCCAGCCCCACGCACCGAGGGCTGTGTCCCGCGGCGGCAGGAGTGCGGGTGAAACCTTCGCCCACTGTGGCGGGCGAGCGGGCAGAGCTGGCTGCCGCTCTGGGGCTGTGGCCGAGGCCCAGAGGACTCGCTGCACTCTGGGCCGCCCTGGCTTCTTTCTTGGTGGCTCTCACGTGGCTCATTTCTTCCAGATGCCCACCGATGCCTACCACCCCATCATAACCAACCTGACGGAGGAGAGGAAACGCTTCCACAGCCCCGGAGTTGTGCTCAGTTACCTGCAAAACATGTCCCTCAGCCTCCCCAACAAGTCGCTGTCGGAGGAGACAGCAGCGAACCTTACCGAGGTAACACCCTTGATGCCGTGCCGGCGAGTGGGGCTCAGCCACCAGCCGCCAGGGCCCTCGGGGGGCGCTGGGCCTCGCAGTCAGAAGAACCAGGGACTATACGTGAACGTGTGGGTTCCAGGCTTCTCCTGGACATCCTGGTGAACAGCCCCGGTGGGGGCACCGGTCAGCAGAGTGCATGCGGGCACGTGAGGATGAGAGTGGAGGCCTGAGGGGCTGCCTCAGTGGGCCCAGAATCCGGCAGGGTGGGTGGGAGGTGCTTTCTTTTTAAGCAAGGGGGTTTCCTGTTGCCTCATGGCTCGCCTCTCCCCTCAGGACTCCCACACACAGGGGCCAGAGAAGGTGATGGCTGGCAGGGTCACAACAGGGGGGAGTGGAGACTGCAGCCAACTCGCAGGCACTGGCAGCCCAGAGCCACTTGATCTTAGCCTTTAGGGTTACCTGAGAATCAAAAAGTGGGAAGGGGGAGATTTATTCCTTTCCTAACACAGAAATTTGAAGTGTTTAAATAAAAAAAATTTGAAAGTGGACAACTAACTTGAATCTAACACCAGTGAAGAGCTGACATCTGTGGGGCAGGCCCAGCCTGTGGCTCGGCGTGAGGCCCCTGCTGCAGGCAGGTGGGGGCGCCTGACCCGGCACCTGCGGAATTGCCCGCAACCCCACACAATCAATCTCATGAGAAGTAGAACTCCTTGGCGTCCACTCCCCAGTGCCCACGATGTCCCGGCTCCTCAGCTCCGGCAGCTGCACAGGAGGCCCCCGGCCCCGCCGGCGCTGACAGGGGCGGCTCACGGCGCCTGGCTCTCGAGCGCGTGGGCTGCGGAGCCGGTGGTGTGAGTGATTCCCAAGACTCCGTACGAAGAAAGAATGCAAAATGAGGAATTGATCATTTTTGTGCTGCTTGTTGACGTGATCATGTTTTAGATCTATCCAGCTAAGTAAAATATGTTTTCAAAATTAATTTCACCTATTTTCCTTGAATATAAAAAATGACAGCTCCTCAGAAATTTATTTATTTATTTATTTATTTTTTTATAGAGGCATGCTTTTTATTTATTTTTTTTTTTTGTTTGTTTGTTTGTTTTGTTTATGCATGCACTGGGTACAGTCAGGAGCGCGGGAGGGTGAGAGAATTCACCAGAGCCAGAGCGGGGAGCAGAGCAGGCAGAAGGACCGAAGGACACTGCTGAGGGGAGCAGCGGGCGGCAGGAGAGGTCTGCGCGCCATGCGGGACCCTCCTCCAGGGCCGGGGAGCAGCCGGGGATCGAACCGGCGCCGCAGAGGCTGTGGGCAGTTTGCAGCCCAGCGCTCAAGCGCTGCGCCACCGGGGAGGCCCTCCTCAGAAATTTAAATTACAAATGTGGCTCCCGTTTCTAATCAACAGATGCGCTCCCGGCTCAACACGCTCTGCCCCAGCCGGGTCTGCGGCCTTGCCTGGCCTGTTGGTCCAGCTTCAGCGGGCGCTGCCGTCCACCTACGGCCGTCCGCGGCTGCTTTATCACGGCAGGGCGGAGCTGAGCGTTGGGGACAGAGCCCTGTGGCGTGTGAGGCTTAAGCGCTTCGCCAGCTGAGAATTTTGGGGGCTGACCTATGCTCTGGGCCCTAAGCCTGCCCGCCACACCCACGCCGGCGAGTCCCAGGCCCGAGGCTGATCTGTTCACCTTTAATTTTTAGGCTTTGCGCGTCAGGGTCTTAATCGGATAAACAAGAAAGTGAGGCGTTCTGATGGTGTGTTCCCTGACTATTTAGTGCCTAAAAGTGTGAGGAAGAATGTGATTTTTCTAGCGATGGCAGTTTGGTGGAAACAGGAGATTTAGGTTAAGCTTTAAGTTTAAATCTGGTGGGTCTCCCCGGTGGCGCAGCGGTGGAGCGCTGGGTTGCAAAGCTGCCCGCAGCCTCTGCGGCGCCGGTTCGATCCCCGGCTGCTTCCCGGCCACCAGAGGAGGGTCCCACATGGCGCGCAGACCTCTCCTGCCGCCCGCTGCTCCCCTCCCAGTGTCCTTCGGTCCTTCTGCCTGCTCTGCTCCCCGCTCTGGCTCTGGTGGATCCTCTCACCCTCCCGCGCTTCTGACTGTCCCCAGTGCTTGTATGAATAAATCTTTAAAAAAAAAAAAAAAGTTTAAATCTGGTATCTGTGGCAGGAGACAAATAATTAAAAGCCGTGAACACTATAAATAAGTGAAACAGGTAGGGGTAAGGCAATACGGAGTGCTGAGGACTGGGGTGAACTAGGGAATACATGCCTGTCTAAGGGGGGAGCTGGACCCTAAATAACTTTTGCTCTGTAGAGAGGTAATTTCCAATTGACACAAGCGGTTTAAGGTCTGCGTGGCTTCCCACGGTGAGGAAGGCGTGTTCAGCCGCTAGGATCTGCTCATCTGGTCATTCACTTAACAGGCGTCTCCCGGGGGCTGTTACCTCTTCCAGGCCCTGAGCTTCAGGCCTCAGCTGCAGCTGAGCAGGGTTCGCGCTGACATCTAAATGCTTGTCACTGGCCTTAAGGGCTGTCACGTGGGACAAGTGGGCCTAGGAAAGGGCTTGGTAAAATGTCGCCTGGCGTGTTAACGTGAGCACTTGGCAGAGGTGGGAAAGCCGGAGGTCTTAGGGCTTTGAAGGGTCCACACTGAGTGGTGTCGCTTGTCTGCCTCTAGACCTTCCTGAGAGCCGTGGGCGAGGTGCTCCTGCTGCCCAGCTGGACTGACGTGTCAGAGGTAAGGGAACCCGGCTCCCCACAGGCGGGCCTGGAGGGACGCGGTGCCTTCCCCGAGGGGCACCCGTGCAGCCCAGCGCGTCTGCAGGGGAAGCGCCGAGTGCCTGAAACCTGGGGTGACAAACGCGTCTCTCCTTTCTCTTCCGAATAATTTGAAAGAATAGGAGAATTTCCATTTCTTTTTAAACGTATCTTTATTGATTGTCCTTGTTTAAAAGATAAAACAAGTGAGTACGGGGCCTCCCCGGTGGCGCAGCGGTTGAGCGCTGGGTTGCGAAGCTGCCCGCGGCCTCTGCGGCGCCGGTTCGATCCCCGGCTGCTCCCCGGCCACCGGAGGAGGGTCCCACATGGCGTGCAGACCTCTCCTGCCGCCCGCTGCTCCCCTCAGCAGTGTACTGCAGTCCTTCTGCCTGCGCTGCTCCCCGCTCTGGCTCTGGTGAATTCTCTCACCCTCCCGCGCTTCTGACTGTACCCAGTGCATGTATAAACCAAAAAACAAACAAACAAATAATAAATAAATAAATAAATAAATAAGACATGCCTCTAGAAAATTAAAAAAAAAAAAAAAAAAGTGAGTACGTTGTGGAGAAGCTGGAACATGCAGAGTGAAAACACGTCACCTCGGAGTGCCCCGGGATCCTTGGGCGAGGGGTGCGGACGCCGTCCCGGGTCTGTCCGGCCCGGCCTCCGCTCCCTCCGCGCCATGGGGCTGCGTCAGCTCCAGGGCTCTGGGCGTCCTTCCGTGGCACGAGGGCGGCGGCCGCCCCTCAGGTCAGAGGAGCCGCTTCTCCGCCCACGCCCGGTGCTGGCCCTGCCACGGCCTGGGCTGCCGCCTGGACACGCGGCGCCTGAACCCGCCCGGCGGGCAAGGGGAGGAGGCGTCTCAGCCCCTGTCCCGGAAGGCCACAGCCCCCGTCCCCGGGAAGGTCGTTCCGCCGAGCCTGATGATGGGGGAGATGTCGCGCTCCCCACCTCTCTCCCCCTTGTTGAGATTGCCCGCGGGCAGGCTTGGCCGCTCCATCCTAAATGGACTCCTTTGCGTGCTCTGCCCCAAAACAGGAATAATCGTGAGACTCTTCAGCCTCAGCGGGCCGAGTGTGCGTCAAGGAGGCGCGCATCGGCCATCACCGGACACGCCCAGCACAGGCCGGTGGCGCCCAGCTGCACTGGGCACGGAAGCCGGGCCGCAGGGCTGTCCTAACGTGGGCATCAGTGCTGTGTCCAGCATTAGGGTTTCCGTGTGTGCGTGTGTGCGTGCAGTGTGTGCACAAGTGTGTGCGGTGCGTGTGCCCGCCTGGTGAGAACGCCGAGGTCTCCCAGCAGCAGACAGATGCTTTTCCGAATGGCGGGGAGTGGGGCGGGTATGGGGCGGGTACGAGGCGGGCGAGCGGCCTGAGCTCCCGGGGATGGTGCGGTCTGGCCCTGGTGGACGCGTCTGACGAGGGCGTGCCCTGGGGGCCCTGGCTCGTTGGGGGTAGCGTCCCCTGTCGGCCTTGAGGAGCAAGGAGGGGAAAGGAGCCCAGGAGTCTGGCGGACCAGGGTCGGGTGTCGGCCCCTCCAGGGCTCCCGCCCCTCAGGGGGACGGCTGGTGACCTCATCCTGGGGCTGGGCGGGGCCTCTGCTCAGGGTCAGCCGAGCCAGGATGGGTCTCTGAGCCCATGGCCCTCATCTCAGCACAGAGGCCTCGGAGCCGTGACGGCGATGGCCCAGCCTGGCAGGGCAGGAGCTCAGCGGTCGCCCCTCTGTCTGGAAGTGGGTGGCGTGACCCCTCTTGCAGGCGGGGCTGGCCTCTGGCGGAGGCTGGCGCGAGCACTTCCGTGCGTCTGGGGACTGTCCGTCCGCCTGTCCGTGCTCACGCTCCTCCGTGTCCTTTGTTCTCAGGACAGCTCCGTGGTACTGGGCTTGATCGACACGGTGGATGCGGTCATGGGCCACATCTCGTCCAATCTGCACCCCAGCGCGGCCCCAGTGGCCATTGCGGGCCCCTCCTCCATGGCAGGTAGCCGGCCAGGGCAGGCGGGCGGGCGGCCTCGGGTGCATCTTGGGGCACCTGACTCACCCCCACAGAGCTCAGAGACCTCTGCGCCCCCGAAGTGCTCCCTTGCGCAGTCCCCCAGAGAGAAGCAGTAACCCCGGCTCAGTGTGCCAGGCCTGCGGCTGGCCGACCCCAGACGCAGTGGCCCCCGGAGAGCTGTGGGGCCCGAGGGGCAAGCCCAGGCCTTAGAGGCAGCCGGCGGGGCTGGTCTGCCGGACCCCGTGCCATCCCGGAGCGGCCACAGCCCCTGTCTGGACAGCATGTCCAGTGGAAGGACAGCTCCTGGCCCCGGCTGGTGGGGTTTGTTGCCAGGACAGCTGCCCCCTGGGTGCCGGCTGTGTGACGAGGCTGCTTCGCTCTCCGGGACTGTGGGGCAGCCACCCGCGGGGTCCGCCTGCTCATGGTCAGGGCGGGGGTGGCCCGGGGCGGCCAGTGTCACTTCTGCACTGTAGGGAAGGCGGGTGGGGGGGCTGCCTTGCCTCCGCGCGGACGCCCACCCTGCCTTCCTCCTGCTTTGCTCTCAGACTTCTCCGTGGCCCAGCTGCGGCCCAGGACCTTGAACTCCTCCCACTACCGCTTCCCAGCCCGCGGGCAGAGCTACATCGAGATTCCCCACCAGGCCTTCCGCCGCAGCCAAGGTGAGCGCGGTGCCCGGGCCACGCAGGGCACCCCTACCCCCGGCAACCTGGGGGCCCCCAGCGTCCTCGGGGCACAGGCCAAGGGCACGCCTGACCCGGTGCCTGTCCTGCGGGTCGCTGGAAGGCTGACGGGAGCCCTCTGCTCTCCCCCAGCCTGGACCACCGTCGTGGGCCTCCTCTACCACACGCTGCACCGGTACCTGAGCAACATCCAGCCGGCCAGCACCAAGTGAGGACCCGCCCGCCTCCCGCCACCACGGCCGGGCACGCCGCGGGGCTGAGGGCTCAGGCGCCCACACCCAGACCCTGTCAGAGCGGGAGGGCACTGCCTGTGGAAGGACACGCAGGGCCTCCTGCTTTGGGCGCCGTGTCAGTCCGCCTGTAACCATCATGCTGAGACGCAGTCGAGGGAGCCGCCCGAGCCTCGGTGTCGCGCTGTGGGTGGGAAAACAGCGCTTGCCGGCCGCCAGCTGTGTCGGCCACGCCGGCCTGAGCGGAGGACCAGGGCACTCGGGCTCACAGGACTGAGGGGCAGGAGGGGCCGGCCTCAGGCATGGCTGGATCCAGGAGCCGGGGGCGCCCTGCCGTCCTGTCTCCACCTCTGCTCTCCTTTGCTTGCCTCGTTCCAGGCAGGCCCTCCGGAGGGTGTGGCCAACCCTGGCAGCCTCTGGCCGCCTGGTGGGGTCCTGGGATCTCAGGAGGGGGTCTGTTTCCTGAAAGCTCCCACGCGAGTGCAGGGGGCTGTGGTGGGCCCGTTCGGGCCACGCGCCCGTCCTGATCCCCAAACGTGGTGACCAGAGGACCCTGCTCATGGGACACCCCAGCTCAGGGTTGGGACAACTCACTTGGGGCCCTGGAAAGGGGCTGGATCCCCCCAGGGGCGAGCAGGGAGGGATGCACCCTCCCCTTTCAGGGGGCCCCGGGGAGTGCAGGGGCCAGAGCCCAGGGCTGGGACAGAGAGCACCAAAGTGAGAGCCGAAGGGGCATGTCCCGCAGCGGGCATCTCGGAGGTGAGGCCCTTGTGACGCCCCAGGAGAGCTGCAGAGGCTGCCAGGCCGGCCTGGCCAGGCATAGCGCCTGGCCCAGAGTCTGGTCCCGGGACAGGGCCCGGGCAGACAGACATCTCAGAGTGGGCCTCGGGTCCTCCGTCGGAACCCGGCCGGGCTCTGCCTTCCTGCCCCCGGGAGCCGGGGTGAGCGCTGGGGGGCTGCGGTCCCGCCACCGGCTGTGCCTCCCGCCTGCTTCACTCTGTTACGCTTCCCTTCTTTCCGAGGATCGCGGAGGCAGCGCGGTACCCAGGCTGCCTGCTGTCTGCCGCCAGCCCCCTGATCTCCCTGGAGGTGTCCCCGCCACCCGTGCTGTCCCAGAACCTGTCGGGCTCGCCGCTCGTCACTGTCCACCTCAGGCACAGACTGGTGAGTGCAGGCGCCACCTCCTCCTGTCTGTGGTGGCTCTGCCTGGGAGACATGCTTGTCCCTGTGGCTGGGGGGCAGGGCGTGGCCCCCGTGGGGGGGTGGCGGGCGTGGCTGGTGTGGACGCTGTGTCAGGGCCTCTGGGCCTCAGGGCCTCAGGTCACGTGTTAGCAGCCGGGCTGAGGAGCCTGCACAGGCCCCCGGCAGAGGCACCAGCCTCAGTCTCCAGGACGGCCTCAGAGGGGAGGCTTGGTCCTGGGAAGCGCGCGCTGGCCCCCTCGGGCCTTGGCTCCTGGCTCTGATGACGGCGTCTGTCCTGCTTCTCCGGTGTCCGCCTTTGTCAGGTCAGACGAGGCTGCGCACCCTGGGCTATCAGCCGCGTGCAGGCCTCATCTGGGCAGGGTGGGGGGTGTCCCTGCTCCGCCCCACTGGACACCTGCTGTGCACCAGCCCCGGCCTGTCATCGCAGCACCTGGGAGGACGTGGGTGAGGCAGGCCTGTCCCCATGTTTGCTCCCTGGGGGAGGGCCACACCAGCCCCCCAAGTGTCAGGCCAGCACCCAGAGTTTGCCAGTGACTGTGCCTCCGCCCCGCCCCGAGAACCAGGAGGGGGTGTGCGGGCGGCCCTGTACCCCAGCGGGCTCTGGGCGGGGCTGCAGGACCTGCGCTCTCGGGTCCTGGCCGCCTCTGGCTGCACCAGCTCAGGGTCCCTCCCGCAGCCGGCGCCCGGGCCCGGCTCTGCCTCCTGCCTCTGTGGAGGAGGAAGGTGCCAGTTTGGAAACCAGAGAAAAAGAAAGGGTGGATTAAAATGCAATCCCTGTTTAATGGCTGGTTACTGGAGTTATTTTTAAAAAAGAGAGTTTTGAGTAGAGAGCCTCGTCTTGAGGACAGGCGGAGAGGGGTTTTTATCATTCCAAAAGCAGCTGGTAATTGACGCTTGTCTCAGCCGGGCGCTCTCCTGGGTTTTGGGGTTTTTCTTTTGAAGGTTGATTTTACATTTCTGAGGACGCTCTGGAGGCGTGCTTCTTCGAGTTAAAATCATGGGAACTGTCTCTCGTGGAGGCTCTCACCGAGGGGTGGGGGCTCAGGGGCACCCCCTATCGTGGTGGGGGGCAGCCTGGCGCAGAGGCTGCAGCATCTTATTCCAGCAGTGGGAGGCAAGGGTGTGAGGCCCAGGCGTGGGCACCCAGCCTGGCAGAGAGACACGGGCCTGGGGGGCCTGCAGGGACGGCGCTGGCCCCGGCCCGTCCAGAGGCCTTCGGGGCACTGAGTAACCTGGAGTGGGAGTGGCACTGGCCCCCTCCCCTTGTACCAGGGAGAGCCCTCCCGGGGCCGGGCCCCTCTGCCGGGCCTGTGGCCAATCGCCCGTTGGGCAGCGGGGCACGTCCAGTCCTGACCCGGACTCGGCTCGGGCTGTGAGGAGCCGGGGCAGGCCTGGCGGGGACTGTCCCGGGCGCTCCAGAGGACTCTGCTCGGCTGAGGCGTCCCTCATCCGCTGGAGCATCCCTCCTGATGACCTGGGCCCCGAGTCACCCCGTGGCGGTCAGCCAGGCTCTCTCCAGAGGGGCGTCAGCACCTGGAGGGAGCGGGTGCGGCCCACGCTGCAGCCTCCGAGCCCACGTGTCCTGGCGGGACCAGCTTGTTTGGCTCTGCCGTGTCGACGTGAACCATCTCCTCTCCCGCACCCCTGATCCCGGGGTGCAGCCCGCTCCACGCACTCTGTGCCTGCCAGGGTGGGCCACAGCCCTCGGGCGCAAGCTCTGGCGGTGAGGCGGGGCGGCCGGCTGCTGGCTTCCAGCCTCTTCCCTGACGGGGGTGTCCCCTCCTTCTTTACTAGAGACGCCCCTCTCCTGGAGGGCCGGGCTGGGGCGCCCATGCAGGGGCCATTCCATGAGAACTGTGGGCCAGAGCGGGGTGGGAACCCGCGTATGGTTAGAATCCTGCTGGAAAAGGCGCTCGGCAGAGGCCGCGGCGGGCGGGGCGGGTCTGTGGAGGCCGGGGCGGGTGCAGAGGCTGGGGCAGGCCTGGCCTGGAGCGGGCTGGGAGGGCAGACGGCCACCTCTGGGGGCTCCTGGCAGCAGGACGGTGTTCCCCACGGGCTGAGGCCGTGAGTCCGGGCTCACGGTGCTGCAGGGCTGGGTGTCTGGGGTGCTGGCAGCATCTCTGGCCTCCGGCTGGCGGGGCCTTTCCACGGCTGGGTTGGCCGCCTCCCCTGGCCATGGGCGCCCCTCTATCCCGGGCCGGCTTTTCTGCCCCTCACGCCCTCACCGTCCCTTCCTTTCAGACGCGCCGGCAGCACAGCGAGGCTGCCGCCCAGGGCCACCGCGTCTTCCTGTACTGCGCCTTCCTGGACCTGAGGTACAGCGGGCAGGTGGGGGACGCAGGTTGGGGGGGGCGCCTGCGGGCCCCAGTGCTTGGGCCCAGCTGGGGCCAGGGTGCTCTGGGACCCCGTTTGGAGGCGTCACCCTTAGATGCCGGGAAGGGCTGGGGCCAGGCAGGATCCCGGCAGCGGCCCTGCTCTGGAGCTGGTGGAGCTGGGCAGTCGGCACGGCGGCCGTGGCCTGTGGCCTGCGCAGGAAGGCCGGCATGTCGGGGCCCGCACCGGGGCCCTTGGTCCGCCCGTCCGTCAGCGCCCGCGGCGCCCGTGCCCGCCAGTCACTCGCCAGTCTGCGTGGCTGAGCAGGGACCCCTGGGCGCGCCGTGTGCTGGTCTGCTCCCCGGGGTTGGACCCCTCGCTGCCTCCTGTTCGGGGGCCCGGCAGAGCCAGTGTCCTGCCAGCTCCGCCTTCCCGGGCCAGCCCCCTCGCCGCGATGCGCCATCTCTTCGTCCTTTCCAGTTTTGCCTGTTGAATTTGACGTCCAGGCCCCTGAGGGCCGGCGTGTCTGTGTCCACGGAGGCTGGTCTGTCGTTCCTCTCCTTGTACTTCCCTGGCTTTGAGTCCCGCTCATGGCGCCTTGGCGAGGGCCTGGGCTGGAGCTCGCCTCGGCCAGCTGCCGCTGTCCCGCGGGGGCCTCTCCTGCGGGGGCCCGCCCCGCCCGCCCCGCCCGGCCCCGGCCCCAGCCCGGAGCAGACAGAAGCCGTGTCCTCGGGGTCTGAGCCGTGGGTGCATTTTTAAAGAATTTGTTCAAATCGTGTCTGCGGCGCGGGCCTGGCCGGCTGCCTCCCCGGCCCCGGAGTCCCCCAGTTGCACTGATTTTTTTTGCAAAGAAACCTCTGGGTTTCCTTGATTTTACTTTCCTGAGAGTTTTTTCCCAGTCTCACTGGTCTGCTCTCTCCCGTGCTCGGCGTGTCCGAATAGCGCCGGCGCCGACGTGGTGGGTTAAAACCCGCCATTGCAGCCGCCTCCAGCCCTCCCGTGGCTCCTGCTCGCTCCTGCTTCATTCAGGCCTCGGGGCGCGGCCTCCGCTCCATCCTCCTCCTCCGACTCGCAGATAAAACCGCCTTTGCCTGTACCGTGGCGGCCGCGTGGGTCTTGAATTCCCCCCGTCTGCTCAGGGGCTCCCCTGCTCCGCTCTGAGCTCCGCAGCCCCCGCCCCGGCGCCGTCTCATCCCACGTCCCACGTGTCACCCTGCAGATGCCAGAAGCGCAGGGCCCGGCCCGGCATGCTCTCCCCCAGAGCCGCGGAAAGCCAGACAGCCGCGCAGCCCTCCGCCCCTCCCCTGGCCAGCGCTTCCCTTCCGTGCGCGGACCCTCCCCTGGGCTGGGGTGTGTCCGCCCGCGCCAAGTTCAGTTTTGTCTGCGAGTCCTTGGTTTTGAGAGATGTTCCTGCTGAGTCGCTGGTTGCTGGACGAAGATCCGACGGCAGCGACATGACACGTTTGCTTCGGGGAGTGCGAGGTGGCACCCAGGCTCTCCCGCCCCCCGTTTCTGCCTCGCACCTCAAGCTGTCCCGCTGTCGGGTTTCGCACATGGGTGTCTGCTCAGGAGCAGCCCGGCCACCCCTGACACTGTCGCTGTCACCCTGGAGGGGCCGGGCCCGACACACAGGGCTGGCGGGCGCTGCTGCAGCCCCGGGGCAGTGTTTGCGGAGGCTCAGGGTCCGGACACCAGGCCCGAGGGGGAGGGCAGGAGCCACCTCAGTCCCGTTGGTCCTGCTCTTGGCGGGCTTGTTCTCTGACGGTGCCAGGCCCAGGCTGTGCTCTCCGGGCTCTGCCCAGCGCCCACCTCCCTGCTGCCTCGTCACCCATCTCCGCCTCCAGGCTGATACCCCGAGTCACCCCACGTGGCCTTCCGGAGCCCACGGCAGGCACCCAGTGCCCAGGCTGGCCAGGGTTCCCACCCCACCCCACGCCCTCGGCCTGCGTCCTCCCTGGTTGCGGGGCTGCCTCCTCCTCAGGGCGAAAACAAAATGCCGCCAGTGTCCCCCTCCTTCACGGGACGCTGGCCAGAAGGGGAGGCCCGGTCTGTCGCCAGCCCTGGGGGCAGCCCCCTGCAAGGCCGCGCGAGGGCTCGGCAGGCCCGGACCTTCCTCACTTTGCAAGCACCTCCCCCGAGGGCCGCGAGACATTTTCCTCCACTGAGCACGCGGGAAAGCTCTTAGGCATCGCCTTGGAGCTGGAACATGGAGGAACGCGCGGAAGGGAGCTGCCGAGTCCTCACCACCTGGACCAGCCACTCACGCTGGACCCCTGCTCCGGGCTGCTCTGCGAAGGCTTGTCCTGCAGGCAGCTCGTTGGGGCACAGCAGCCTCCTGCTCCAAGGCGCCCACATCCCCACATGCAGGGCGCCCCACACACGCCCCTCGCGCTCCCATCACGGCCGCCTCCACCTCATGTTCCTGGGGCAGCGGCTCCGGCCCACACTCCCCGGCCTGGATGGGCACCCAGTGGCTTCCTCCTGCCTGTGGCGCTTTCTTGCCCGCGTCACTTGTGTGGTGCCCTGCCCGGGCACGGTGGCCCCGGTGCAGTCTGGGTCAGCCCACCCATTCCCTGCCCTGCACCCGCCCAGCCAGGGCCCAGGTCCCAGGAGGTGGGTGCTGCTGCGCGGCACCCCCCACCCCGGCCTCCCCCCGGCAGCGCCTGCTCCAGAAGGCCAGGCCGCGCCCCCTGGCCCCACCTGCACCCGCTGACCGTGCCCCCTGTGCTCAGCTCTGCAGGGGGGATCTGGTCCAACGAGGGCTGTGCTCCAACAGAGGGAAACCTCAGCTACTCCACTTGCCGCTGCACCCACCTCACCAACTTCGCCATCCTCATGCAGGTGGTCCCGCTGAAGGTAGGAGCCAGCCCGGCCCACCCAGGCCCAGGTGCCCCCACCCCCAGGCTGCAGCATCCCCAGCTGGCCCCGGGGACCTGTGCACACAGGGCGGCACCCCTGCCTCCCTGCCTCGGCGCTGGCTGTGTCCAGCTCAGCTGAGTGTGGCCCTTGACTGCGGCGTGGGGTGCCGACGCGCTGTTCCGGGTCACAGGCCTGTGTCTGTGGGGACTGTGGCCTGGCACTGCGGGGCGGGGCCGGGCTGGGATGCAGCAGCTGTTTTGGAGCCCCCAGAGCTGGCAGGGGTGGGGGGAAGGAGGGAGGCATTCCAGCAGCCCCAGTGTCCTCTCTCCAGCAGTGGACACCTGCCCTGAGGCTCAGGTTGGCTGCTGCGAGGCCTCTGCTTGGGTGTCTCTGCTTCAGAGCATTTAATTTACTCTCTGGCTGGGCTTCCTGGTCCGCCCTCGCCCTGGGGGAGAGAGTCCTTTCTCTGGCTTAAGGCAAGTCTTGTTCGTGGGAGAAGAACCCAGGGGCGGGGCCCTCCCAGCATTGAGCCCCTGAGCCTGGGTGAGAACCACCTCCTCTGCCCCCAGGCCCGGGGAGGCGGAGCTAGTGCAGGGGGGACGGCAGTGGGGAGGCGGCCCCCTGCGTGTCTGGCTGGCCGGGGGCTGCTGGTCAGGTGTCCACGGCAGGAGGAGGAGGCACCAGCTTCGGGACCAGAGGGGTGGCGGGCTCGGGTCCCGCCGGGGCGGAGCAGCTGGGCTGCCCACCAGGACCAGGGAGGGCCAGGTGACTCCCTGGCTCTCCCGGAGCGACCTTAGTAGCCACCCGCCCAGCAAGGCTAATGGGAAGGGAAACTGAACCCCAGGACCTGCGGGGAGGATGGGTGGAGGCTCGAGGGAGGCTGCACCCTGGGAGCCTTCGGGCGATTTGGGGTCCTGGGCTGTGGAACGGCTGCTTCTCCCCAGGCCCCACCACTCCCTGCTGCCTCCCCGCCAAGGGGAAGACGGAATTGTTTCTTGTTCTCCCAGGAGGGGGTGACACGCCGCTGAGAGGGACTAACTCAGGGGACGCCTCCCCCAGGACAGGCCCCGCTTGCGCTGGGCTCGCGCCAGCTGGCTCTGGGGCGCCGAGTTCATGGTCTCTGACTCACAGGCCTCTACGTCCCGGAGCAAACTCGGGCTGTTCTGGACACTTCTAAATCTAGCTGAGGGCACGGCTGGGGCCGCCCTCCGAGGCTGGCACGGTGCGGGCCCTGCCTTCACAGCCCCCCCAGCGGACGGGCTGGGGTCAAGACCGGACTGCCGGGAAGTGGTGACGACACCCCTCTGTGCCAGGCTGTGCCTGGGGTGTCTCCACCCCCTCTGCGCCCACCCGCTGTCGGGAACCAGGCTCCCCCCACCTCCCGTGGCTGTCACTCAGGGTCCCCCCCGGCACACTGCAGCCTGTGCCTCAGCACCGAGCCCCACGAGCTGGCCTCCCGGCCCGGCACTGAGCTCCCGGCAACAGCCTAGCGCCCGGTCCGAGCCCGGCTGGCTGAGGGTGGCCTGGTCAGCGCTAGCCTGAGGGCACCTGGGTCCGGCTGGAGTTGCCACCTGAGCCTGGAGCGGGCGGGGGCTGCGCCGCTGGGGTCTGAGTGGGAAGCGCTCCCAGCCGCACCCCTCCGGCCACCCCTCCTCTCACAGGCAGAGCAGGTGACCTGTCTCCCTGCCCACCTGGGGAGCGGGGGAGGGGAGCACTAGGGTGGGGCCACCTCTTCCCGTGGCCTCTCTGGTCCTGGGGGCAGAGTGAGGGGGGCAGGTGTGGGGTGCTCTCCTGCTCCCCCAGGAGCTCCATGGTGGAAGGGGTGGGCCCTGTCCTCAATGCCTTCCTCAGTGCAGGCTCCAGCCCTGGCCGCGGCCTCAGGGACGGGCCCTGGACAGGCGGCTCCCTCTCCACCTCACCCCTGCCCCTGACACCTCGCTGAGCCCTGGGGTGCAGGCCCACACCTGCCCCCCTTCCTGGCTCCCAGCAGCCTGAGGACAGGACCAGGGGCCCTTGCAGAGATGGGGCGGGCAGGCGGCGCGTCCAAGGCAGAGAGCAGAGTGGGCAGCGGGTGAGCTGAGCGTGTCAGGGCCATGAGCGTGTCAGAGCAGGGCCGGGCTGTGAGCGTGTCAGGGCCGCGAGCGTGTCAAGGCGGGCTGTGGGTGGGCTCACGCTGGGCGTGCCTGGCTGTGTGCTCTCGTGCCCTCTCTGCCTCTAGTTCCCAAGACAGCAGCCTCCTGCTGTGATTCAGTGATGGGGATGGCTGACCCGCAGCCTCTCCCCCTGCCCCTGCAGGCCTGTCATGCCCCCCCACCCCCGTGGTGCCTGCCTGAGCGCCCCGCAGGCCGTGGGGCTCTGCCTGAGCCCAGATAAGGGCACGCGGTTGCTGCTCCCTCTGGCTCTTGGCGGGCCTTGCTCTCCCATCTGCACCTGCAGTGGGGTGGCTGAGGGTGCAGCTGGGCAGCCACTGGGGCCGGATTGTGGGCCAGGAGGCGCTGCATGGCATGGGGCCCCCCGGGTGTGGGGTGCAGGGCATGGGGGCCAGGTCTTGCTGAGCGAGTGCAGATGGGCTCGGGACGCAGTGGGGGACGGGAGGTGGAGAGTCGGGCAGGGGCTGTGGACTTGGGGAGAGAGCCAGGGATGTGGGCACGTGGGAGCAGAGGACCAACAGCACCAACAGGACCCAAGGCGGCAGGCGAGGGCGCAGGGTGAGCTGCCGTGCCTACTGCATTGGAGGAGCACTGGGGCACTGAAGTGTGCAGGCTCCAGGGCTGACCCCCAGGACCGGCCCTCCCCTGGGGCAGCAGAGACCACCGTGGGCAGCGGGACAGGGGATACCACCCCATTTGGGACAGGATGGGCCCCCACAGGCCGCAGCACTGACGTGCCGCTCCCCGCACAGCTCGTGCACGGACACCAGGTGGCGCTCTCCTCCATCAGCTACGCGGGCTGCTCCCTGTCCGTGGTCTGCCTGGCGGCCACGCTGGCCACCTTCGCCATGCTGTCGTGAGTCGCCTGCCCGCTGCCCAGTAGCCTCCTCGTGGAGATGCTAGTGCCACCCGCCCGCCTCCTTCCCTGAGAGTGGAGGCCGCTGGCCCACGAGCCCCTGCGCGTCCACCCCAAGGATGGCCGCATCCCGCTCCTTCCCGTTCTGAGATTTGGGGTGTCAGAGGGGTCGTGGGGCTGCTGGAGAGGGGGGAGAAGGAGGCAGGGGGCCGGGGTGCGGCTTTACTTAAGCTGGAAAGAGCTGGAACGCCCGCAGCCCGGGGCTCTCTGGCCCTCAGGACTGAGCTGCCCCTGCCCCAGGGTATCCAGGCATTGGGTTCCGAAGGGCCCCTGGGAGGGCAAGGCTGGGGTGGGGGAGGCTCATGCCCCGTAGCACCCCCTCATCCAGGCAGAGGCCACATTGTCTGGTCAGGCCTCAGAGGGCCTCTGTGTCCTGGGGGGCAGCCACTTAGCCCACCTATGGCCCTGTTGACAGAAAACAAGGCGGCTGTGGGGCGCCTTGTTCCCCTGGGACACTCCCCTGTCTGCCTGGTAACCCCAGGGGTCACCAGGGGGTGAGCTGCCCCTCCTCCCTGCTCACTGTGCCCGTCCTGAGCCTTCCCTCTGGGGAGGCCCGAGGAGTGTTTGCAGGGGAACAGCCGGAGCAGCCTGGGCGGTTGGCAGCAGAGGGCACAGTGAGCGGGGAGGCGGGCAGGGCGGCTGGCAGCAGGCAGCGGCCACAGGGCCTTTGCACAGGCTGCTGCTTCTGCCCACAGCTCGGTGAGCACCATCCGGAACCAGCGCTACCACATCCATGCCAACCTGTCCCTGGCCGTGCTGGTGGCCCAGGTCCTGCTGCTCATCAGCTTCCATTTCGACGCCGGCACCGTAAGTAGGAGCACCCCCACCCCCACCCCGCCAGCCAACAGGGGCTCTGGGTGCACTTTCTCCCGCTTGTTTTATCAGCTGGGAATTCAGAGCTGGCCCAGAGACGCAGGCGGCGGCCCCCAGGGGGACCGGAAGGTGGCTGCCCCAGCCCCACCGCTGGGGAGTGCAGAGTAGGAGTGTCCAGGGGCAGCGCGGCCAAGCCCCAAGCCACTGGGCCGGGCCCCAGACACAGGGCAGGCCGCCAGCTAGGGCCCCAGCACCCTGAGGGCTGGGCCGCGGCTCCGGCCCTCCCGAGGAGTGAGAGGCAGTGCCTGGAAGCCCGGAGCGGGGGGCAGGCGGGTCCAGCCGCCGCACCCCAAGAGCCTGTGTGTGCCCAGGTGCCGTGCCGCGTGCTGGCCGTGCTGCTGCACTTCTTCTTCCTGAGCGCCTTCGCCTGGATGCTGGCCGAGGGGCTGCACCTGTACAGCATGGTGGTCCAGGTCTTCGGCGCCGAGGACAGCAAGCACCTCTGCTACTACGGCATCGGGTGGGGTAGGCGGGCGGGGGCGGGCGGGGGGAGGGGAGGTGACGTCACCCTCACGCCCTCATATTGTGTTTCTGCGCCCGAGAGGCCAGCTGAGAAGAACCATGAGGCCGACCACAGGCCCCGCGTCCCCCCGCATTCCTGACTGTTTTGTCCATTGTGAGGGACACTAGTGGCTGCCGTGGCTTCTTGTGCCTGTCCTCCCGATGGCTGGGGGCCCAGCGTGTCCTCCCCAGCACGCTGGGTAGAGGCGGCTGGGGGCTGCTGTCCACGCCCAGCTGTCCTCACCGCCTGTGCTGACCTCCATGGGGGGGCAGTGGGGGGACACGGCACCTCCCTCTCGGAGAGCCCTGGGTCGAGCAGACCGCTCGGCGGCCATGCCCGCCCCCGTCAGGGAGCGTGTGGTCACGTGTGTGCAGCCGCAGTGCTGGGGCAGAGGCGGGCGAGCCCACTGTGCGCTATCAGAGGGGCCAGTGACCGGCCGGGAGTGACTGGCCGGGCGCCCCGTCTCGCTTTCTGCAGGCTGCCCCCTGCTCATCTGCGTCATTTCTGTGTTGTCTGCCACGGACAGTTATGGGACCAGTAACAAGTGAGTGGGGGCCCTGGTGCTGCTGTGCGGGGGGCTTGGCGGGGAGGCCGCCTCCTGGCTCGGGGGGCGACGGTGGGACTCAAGGGCCGGGCCATCAGCGCTGCCCTGGGGGACGGCTCCTGGAGCAGGGTGGGGGGCACAGGAGTCCTGCAGGGCGCCGCCTGCTCTGGGCCCTGGTGTCTCCATGGGGTGTGCGGGGGGCGGGGCTCTATGCTGTGTCCCTGGGGCCCAGGCTGCTGGCCCAGGCTGCCCCCCTAGAGGGGCGCCCGAGGGCTGGCTGGTTTCTCACGTAGCCCAACTCGGGTCTGGGCCATCCCTGAGCTGGGCCGGGGCCTGGGAGTCTTTCTGGAACGTGGGACAGACAAGCCGGGGCCGCCGGGGGAACGTGTCCGACGGCTGCCTGCCGGCCTGCGTGCCAGGCAGGGCCAGTAACCGTGCGCTCCCCCACAGCTGCTGGCTGTCGCTGGGCTCTGGAGCCATCTGGGCCTTCGTGGGCCCCGCCCTGCTGGTCGTGGCGGTAGGTCCTGTGGGGACAGGGCTGGCGTGGGAGGGGCTCCAGGCTTCACAGACTGGGGACCCCTCACCAGTCCCGTGGTGCCTTTGGGGACGGTCCCCCGGGGTGTCTCGGTCCAAAAAATGCCTGGGGAGGGGCAGGCGGGTCCTCATGCTTCTCTCTGACCCCCGGGGAACTGGTAGGCGCAGTGGGCAGGTGTCTCCGCCCGGAAGGGCTTGGGCCCTGCCCTCACACTCGGGCTGGGCGGGCTCCTTGCACGAGGCTGGGAATGATGCTGGGTGGCCTGGGACCGAGCTTTGGGGTCCAGGCCTGTCCCCTGCCCTGGGCCGCGTGGGGCCGCCTGCTCTGGCCTTGAGGGGCCCCACTCCCAGGGTCGCCGCCAGTTGGGGCGTGTGTTTGCCGCCTCTGCTGTCACCCACAAGGCTCCGCTCCCTCCAGTGGGGCCGGGATGCCCTGCGGGTGTCATAGTCCGTGTCACCTGGGGAAACTGAGGCTCAGAGGACCTCAGTCAGTGCCCTGGGTCACAGGGGCCTCTGCCGTGCCTGGGGTTGGCGGGACCTCGGGGCCTGGAGCCCGTGCTCAGGGATGTGCTGCCTGGCTCCGGAGCCTCCGGCTCTGTGGGGCTGCTGGCCGGGCAGGGCTGGACACGCTACGGCCCCACGCATCTCTCCCCCAGGCCAACGCCGGCATCCTTGTGGCTGTGACGCGGGCGATCGCGCAGATCAGCACCGGCAACTACAAGATACACGGGGACCCCAGTGTCTTCAAGTAAGCTTGGCCGCCCCGCAGCCGCCCTGGGGGGACCCGGCACCGGTTCCTGGCCGGGTCGGAGGGCTCCCCGCGGCAAGCGACGCAAAGCCCACCGGAGGGGGAGCGGAGGGGCTCCCTTCCCGGCCTGCTCGGCGGGGCTGGTGCGGCGGGAGAGGATGGTCAAGGCCCACGGGGTGCCAGCCTCTGCCCTGCGAGGCGGGGGTGGCTGGGTCGCCCGCTCGGCTCAACAGGCTGCCTCAGGCTCAGGCGGAGCCCAGCATGAGCAGCGCTGCCCAGGGTGGGGGCCGGCCTCGGCCCCCTGATGACCCGGCCCCGGCCACCCCGCTCGCCCAGCGCCGCGCCTGTCTGCCCTGTCTGCCGGCTCACCCAGCGGTCCTGGGCCTGCGCCTCCGGCTGTGTCCCGAGGGGGGCGGACCCTGGGCCGCTGCAGCAGGGGAGGCCACGCTGCCCCGGCTCGGACTGCCCGCAGGCCGGCTCACTGGTGACTCGGGGAAGGTGAGGCCCCTCCGCCGGGCCTCTGCTCCTCAGGCCCGTGCGCGCTGCCCACACCCAGGCTCCGTGTCTTCCAGGTTGACGGCCAAGGCCGTGGCCGTGCTGCTGCCCATCCTGGGCACCTCGTGGGTGTTCGGCGTGCTCGCCATCAACAGCCGGGCCGTGGTCTTCCAGTACCTGTTTGCCATACTCAACTCCTTACAGGTAAGGGCTTCGATGAGTGGGGGTAGGAGGAGCGGGGTCCCACAGTGGCAGAGGAGCCCTCGCTTCGTCCCCTACACCCCTGGAGCTCATGGCGTGGGGTCCGGAGCACACACCAGGCTTGGGCAGCACGGCTGGCCTGGGCCTCCAGCCGGGACGGCAGGGTGGCCCGCCTGGGGGCGAGGGGCACCTCGGGTTCTGGGCAAGGGGCGGGGAAGAGCTACCAGCCTGGAAACCAGAGACACGGGAGGCCGGGCCTGAAGCCTGGGGCAGGCGGAGCTGGTGGCCCCGTGGCTGCGGCGGGCCTAAGCCGGTCCTGGAGGGCACAGCCCCCGGCCTCGTGCCTGCTGGCCGCGGGTGCTCGCCGGTGGCTGCTGCTCACCTCTCCCGGTCCTGGGCCTCCCCTGGCACTCCCCTCCGCCAGCGTCCTCTTCCGTAAATTGGGGAGAGGACAGGCCCCCTCCGGCTCTTGCGCCCGCTGACATAAGGCAGGGGCAGGCCCAGGCCTGATGCGGAGGGGCCGAGGTCGCTGACTCCTCGCTCTGTCTGTGGCCGCTGTCCCCCGAGGCCCACGGGGGCGCCAGGCTCGTTAGAGACGCCGTGTCCTCGCCGCGTGGGCCCAGGCTGCCCCCCGCCCCGTCAGGCCTGTGTCTGCTGCGGGCCCCTGCGCCCCGGCCACAGCTCGCCCTCCCCGACGCCCGGCCCTCCCGGCACAGGATGCAGGGCGCGCCCGCCTCGTGGCTCAGTCCCCGGTTCGCCCCCGCGCCAGGGCCCAGGCCTGGACGGCCCCCGGGAGCGCTGGGCGAGGCCAGCCACTGAGCGGTGTCCCCGCCCCCCTCCAGGGCCTCTTCATCTTCCTCTTCCACTGCCTGCTGAACTCCGAGGTGCGTCTGCGGCGCTCGGGCTGGCGTCTGGGTCCCCGGCCGTGTGCCGAGGGCCGGTCCCTCCGCCTTTCCTCAGCCTCCCGCCCCGACCCCACATGGCGCAGACTCTTGAGCCCGAGGCCGAGGGGCCGGGGTGGGCGGAGTGGGGCTGCTGTTGGCAGAGCGGGGTGTGCGCCGGGTGGGCAGGCAGGGGGAGGGTGGCTGGGGCCAGCGAGTGCTGGGGTGGGGCGGGAGAGGGCCACGTGGCCGCAGGAGTGGGGGGCGGCCGGCACAGGGTGGGCACAGCCCCGGGCAGGCTGACTCGCTTGCTCCAGTGCCACCGCCCAGCCCTGCGCCGGCCCGTCCCCTCCCGCGGCCGCTGCCCCAGACACAGGCCCCAGCTCCTGGCGTCCCCTGAGCCTGCCCCTGCCCTCAGGTGAGAGCCGCCTTCAAGCACAAAACCAAGGTCTGGTCGCTCACGAGCAGCTCCGCCCGCAGTGGCCAGGCCAGGCCCTTCAGCTCCGACACTGTGAGTGGGTCCTGCCCCCCCCCACCCCTCTCTCCTGCTGAGCCGTGCTGAGCCTGCTCTCTGGCCTGTGCCCGCCCGCCCGGGCTGTCACCGGCTGCCCCACACCTGCCAGCCCCGCGCCTGTGCTCGAGTCCAGAGCACTGCTCCTGCGGCAGCCCTGGGCGGTGCTGGCCTCTGCAGGGCGGCTCTGGCCTCAGCGTCCCTCGCGCGCAGGTGCACGGGACCCGGCCGGGCGCCGCCTCCACCAAGCTCAGCCCCTGGGACCCGAGCAGCCGCTCCGCCCCCCGCGTGGACCTGTCCGCCGTGTGACTCTGCGCTGCGCTCACGGCGCCTGACCAGCCGCCCCGCCAGGGCCCCGCTCCTCGTGACGACTGGACAGCCATGGAGCCCCAAAGGCGTCCTCGACGCAACACTCCCAGGGACGGAACCCCGCTCAGCTCACGGCCGGGGCGGATGGCAGCCTCTGATCTGGCCTTCTGGGGCTGCGCGTCCACCCCTGCGGCGCCCCGGATGCCTGCTGGTCCCGGGCCCAGTGCCCCTCCCTGCAGGGGACACCAGACCTGCCCCCTGGGCACCAGCATCCAGCTGCTGCGCCTCCAGAGGGGCCTGCTGGCCCGTGGGGGGTGGGAGATGCTCTCAGCCTGCAGTATGCCCCCCGCGGGCTCCCGGAAGCCAGGTCTGGACCTTGCCGCTGGTTGCTGGCCTGAGCTGGCCCCTGGCTGCTGCCCTGGCTCTTGGCTGGGGCCTCTGGCTGCTCCCCTGTCCCCACCAATGTGAAGGGCCCATGTGGCCGCGGCTCGGCCAGCTCTTGACTGCCAGGGCGCCCCCAGCCCCTCCCCGAGAAACCCCTCCTCCAGCACCCCACCCCGTGGTGTCGCACGGCTGTGAGCTGCCCGCCTGCCTGCGCCAGTCCCCGTGTCCAGGGGCCCCGAGGAGGGCCTTGTGGCCTGAGCTGGCTTCCTGTCGCCGTGAGCAGAGCGCGAGACCCTCAGGCCTGTGGGGCGGCAGGGGCGTGGCAGCCGTGTCTCCCAAGAGGGCGTCATCCAGTGGTCCTCAGCCCTCGGCCACGTCACAGGTCCGCGGGGGCTGCGTCCGGGCGTCTGCCCCTGGTGTGGACCGGCGTCGCTGGGCCTGGGGCGCGTGGTGATGTCGGGAGCTGTGCAGGTGCCAAGGCCAGACCCGACGCTGGTTCTGAGAAGTCAGCTGGGGAGCCCCGGGCCACGGGGCCACGGCTGGCAGTCCTTGTGCCAGCACCACCTCCCCCCCAGAGCGCCTCCCTATGGCCCCCGGCCCCCCGTGCCCCCAGCACAGGAGGCAGGGCAGCCACGCGCACAGGGTCGCTGTCTGGAGCCAGAGCCCGGGCCTCACCCCCGTGACCAGCCCCGCTCCGCCCCGGCCAGCGCCTCGCCCGCCCCGAGGGAGCACCCGGCACTCCAAGTCCACTCTGCACCCCGAGGCCACTGTCTGCGCCCCAAGATCACTCTGCTCAGCCTCAGCCGGCGCAGGGGAGCGGGGGTGGGGGCTCTATAGGTTCCCTGCGCTGGCTTCCGCGGTGCTTATTATCTGCACATATTTGGCCAAAGATGAGAAACTGGGGGGCTCTGCGTGTTCGCGATAGTTCAGAGCGCAGCGGAGCTGAGGGCTGGCCGCGCAGAGAGACACGCCGTGACGTTTGTGGAATAAAATCCTGATGTCCTTCAACTCGGGCGTGGTTTTCCCCCGACCGCGGCGGGTCGGGAAGCGCCAGGGGTGAAATCCCCCAGGGGGCTCCTGAGACCCTGACTCAGGCCTGCTGTGGGCCAGCCCTGGCCGGCGAGCGCCGCCCGGGAAGGCGGGGAGCGGCAGGTTGACCAGGGGTGCTCGCACTGGTGGGGGGCTCAGCACCAACCCAGCTGGCCCGCGTCCCGTGGCTGCTTCGGGGGAACCGTGCCTCGGCCTTCACGCCCTGTCACCCCCGAGACACCCCGCCGCGCAGGGTGTCTGACCCGCGGGCCAGGCTTCCGCGGCCCCTGTGATGGGGACAGCGCAGGTGCCCACACTGGCCTCTGCAGTGACCGGTGGCGAGTGTCCGCCGCACCTCCGCCCCTCTGCCCTGCCGATCCTTACGCTGTTTTCCAGGCCGCGAAGCCAAGAGGGGTTCCTGCACCTGCGATCCCCCGACCGAAACACTTTGCCAACCTGCCAGCCGGAAGGGGGGCCGGCAGGTGTCACCCCAGGGGACATTGTTGCTCCTGCCACGCCTCGCCAGGAAGCGTGTCAGCAGCAACCTCAGCGCCAGCCTGACCCGGGGCTGCCGCGACCGCTGCTGTGACGCGCTGAGGCTGCGGGGGCTCAGGTGTGTCTCCCCGGGGAGCCGGGTGTTCTGGGAGGGGGCGTCTCCTTCCTCTCCGGCCTTTCCCACCTCCCGGGGTGACTGCTCACAGTCAGGTCACCCTGAAAAACTCCCCACACCTTGGTGCACCGCCGTGGCCCTGGGCAGACAGGATGCCGTGGGGGGGTGGGGGGGACTTGGGACCGCCCTCGTGCGAGGGCTCGAACTCCGGGGGGTGCAGCCATGGCCAGGGCTGCCTCCCTGCCACCCCCTCGTCCTGCCCCTCACCCTCGCTCCCCACAGCCTGGGGCGAACCCCCCAGGAATGTGCTTCCTGCCTCAACCCGGTAGCTGGGCCCTCTCGGCCAGAGGCAACCGCTGCGCTGCTCCGAGGCGCCCGGCTGGCAGGTTCCGCCTCTTTCCCGGTCCCGCTGGGCCCAGGGCTCCTCACGGAGCGGGTCACGGGGGCGGGGCCGGGGCCGCCTGCTGGTGGGGGCGCAGGAGACCAAGGGGGCTGTTGTCGGGGTGGGGACAGGGCGTGGCCCCCTGGGGTCGCCAGTCACTGCCGGTGGGCCAGAGGGCCGGCCAGCGCTGCCAGGGTGTCCGCTGTCCCCGTGACGGGTGGGGACCATGGTGATGGCAGAGCCCAGCCCCTTAGACCACCGCTCCCGCCGCCCTCTGCCTGCATGGGCACTGCTGCCAGATGGGGAGCAGCGCAGGAGCAGCCGCCCCTCATGGAAGCACTTCGGGCCTCCAGGTGACCTGGGGCAGCAGGACGTGCCAAGACGCTGGACACCGCGAGGCCTGATGGAGGGGCTGGGCTTGGGGGCTCCGGCTGCCAGAATGTAAGGGCTGTGCCCGCCGCTGACCAGGGCCAGGTGGCAGGGATGAAGGCCGCCCCTTCTCCGGGCGTCCCCACGCACAAGTGGAGGAAATGGGGAGACACGTCCCAAGGAGCCGGTCCCCAGCGCTCACGGGGACATCAGGCAGCCGCCCGCCCGCCCACTCACCGTCCCTCGGGAGCCGAGACAGGTTAGGGGCGCAGGGGCGCAGGAGCACAGCTCCCTGGGGGCCGGGACTCCAAGGTCGTGGCCGCGCAGGCCAGGCCAGTTGGCTCCTGGTGCACTAGGGACAAGGTCGAGTGCCAGGAGGACAAGCAGCTCCGGAGCGCGATGAGACCCCGTCCTGGGCGCTGCATGGACACAGCCGGGAGGCAGACGTCTGGTCCCGGCGGGCTGCTGGCAGGAGGCAGACCTGGCACCCCGGAGAGCCGGGCGCAGGCGGGAATCAGCCTGGGGCTGGGGATGCACGGCCACGTCTCGATGGGGCGTGTGAGCCCCGGGTGCAGCCCTGCCTGCAGGCGTGCCCGAGACCCCGGGCCTAAGCCGGTCACTCCGGCCCGCAGCGCCGCCGCCGGTCGTGTATCTGTCGCGTGGGGCTGCTTAAGGCAAAGTAAATCTGCCTCGTGTGTTTCAACCCCTCGCCTGCGTCTGGCTGGGGCTTGGGCGTGGGGAGGAAGCCCGGGCCTGCTCTGGGCCGGCGTTCCCGGGGCTGCCGCCCGCACGGAAAGGGCCCTGCGCCAGGAACAGCCGGGGCCGGCCTGGCCGGGGCCCTGTCTCCGGGTCCCCGGCTTAGAGGCTCTGGGAGCTAATGTGCTCCTGGCCCCGTCGGGAACAGGGATGGGTCCCCGCCCCAGCGCTGGGGGCTGCTCCGGGCCACACACGGGGCCGGGCCGCGCCGCGCACGCTCTGAGCGCCGGGAGCCTGGTCCTGGTCTGCGGCCCGCTCCGGCTGCGAGACACCGCGTGGGGAAGGGGGGGTGGAGCCCCCCACACTGCACCCACCCCCAGGGGCTGCCAGCCTGGCCCATCACACGTGGTGACCGCTGGGCAGGACGCGGGCCCGCACATCTTGGTCACATCACCCCAAATGCAGCTAGTGCAGCAAACAGATGTGGGGGGGACAGACGGACGTCTGTGGTATGACGGGGCCCCCACGGACCCAGGGCAGGGCTACCCCCCGGCGTCCCCCACATCAGAGACACCCCCTGACCCCACACGCCCTCAAGCTGCCTCCAGGTCTCTTCCTCACCCTGTTTCGTGATTTCTAGAAGAAAGAAACCTCAGCAAAGAGAAGCCGGGTTGCATCGCAGCAGCAGCCGCGGCCCAGCCGACCACCCCCCTCCCCGCGCTGGGGACCAGTCCTCACCTCCTCGGCCTTTATCGCAAACGTCCTGCCGCCGCTTGGCCTAGCTGGCTGCGCCCATGTGTTGTTTCCAGCCTGGAAGCTTCCGAAGGCTTCTCACTGCAGGAGGCGCCTCCAGCCTCCCGTCGGGCGAGACCCGCGCTGGCCGGCATCCAGGGTGGCAGGCAGGGCTGCCAGGCAGGGGACCTGGAGCTGTTCCCCGTTCGCTGGGGGTGAGGGGGTGGTGGGCAGAGCTACTGTCCCCTGAACCCGCTGGCGTGCCCCCACCTCCCTCGCCTAAGATTCCCAGGCCCCCTTAGGTGCGGGCCCTTCTGGGGCCACTTCTGCTCACAGGACCGTGGAGGCTCCAGGAGGGGTCCTCAGAGCCGGGGGCGCAACACCTGGGTCCCCAGAGATCACCACTGCCCTTTGTTTCTGGTGCCCGGTCAAGCTCTGAGGAGGCTGGCGCCTGAGGCTCCTTGAAGGGCCGGTGGCCGTCCCGGTGCTGACCGTGGCCCTCGCCCGGCTCCTTGTGCACCCCACAGGCTGCAGAAGGGCCAGCAACTGGCTCCATGTGAGGAGCGTTTATGGGGATCGGGGGCCAGGGGCTGCCTGAGCCATGGCGGGCTGGGGTTAGGGTGGCTCCCGGGGCGGGGGCAGGGCTGCTGAGCGGGCTGCTGGCACCTTCCCTGGTCCCGCCCCGCCCCACAGGGAAGACAGCCAGGAGGCAAAGCAGGCCCAGGGCCTGGCAGTGCAGGTCAGGGGGCGGGACCCCAAAGCTGTAAGGGAGCGGGGCCTGACCCCCCTCCTGGGGCCACCGTGAGAAGCACCAGGAGCAGCAGCATCGCTGGTCGTGCAGGGGAACCAGGGCAAGAGCCTGGCCGAGCCCCGAGAGGCCCTGTGGACATGCGAGGGGCCCCGCCGGCGGGTCTCTGCTAAGGGTCCCCGAGACCATCCCTCTGAGGGTTCCCCAGGGTTCACGGGTCACCAGCCCCAACCCTGACCCCCGGAGCCGGGGCTGCTGCGACTTGGTCTCCCTGCGGGCTGCTGGCTACGGCCGCCATGCGTCCTGGCCTCTTCCCAAACTCAGCAGGTTGGGGACACGACAGGTGAAAACGACTGCGGGGCTGGACGGCGAGGCCTGGCCGGGCTGGGCCTCCACGGCCCCACCTCAGGGCCTGTTCTGACCTACAGGACCCTGTTTTGGGTGACCTCGGTGACCTCGGCACCCGAGATACCGGCCTGCGTCAGTCATGGTGTTACAGGGCAACCCCGATACCAAACGGGGTGCCTGACTGTGGGTCCCCACCTGCGCTTAAAAGGACTTGTCCATGCTCTACTGCAGGCGCACGCGAAAGGTTCATAAAAGGTTTATTCACAAGGGAAGGGGAAATGAGGAAATGCACAGCTCAGGGGCAAAAGTGGGAGACAAAGTTGTTGTTTTTTTTTTTAATTTTTTTAAAGATTTATTTATTTATTTACACAAGCACTGGGTACAGTCAGAAGCGCGGGAGGGTGAGAGGATTCACCAGAGCCAGAGCGGGGAGCAGAGCAGGCAGAAGGACCGAAGGACACTGCTGAGGGGAGCAGCGGGCGGCAGGAGAGGTCTGCGCGCCATGGGGGACCCTCCTCCGGGGGCCGGGGAGCAGCCGGGGATCGAACCGGCACTGCAGAGGCTGCCGGCAGCTTCGCAACCCAGCGCTCAACTGCTGCGCCACCGGGGAGGCCCTGGGAGACAAAGTTTTAAATGCGTCCTACCCGATCCGCCGATCTGGAATCCCAAACGGCACTCTGGGAGCTGCCCGCGAGCCAGGAGCCGTGAAGCCAGGAGGCGAGTGAGAGAGCGAGACCCCAAGGCCCACGTGTTTGGTTTTTATACCCAACCTGGCTGCTGAACCCCACCCTCAGATCCCAGCCACCTTCCCTTGGGTGGTGATGGGATTTGTCTTTCCCAGTGTCTTTGGCTTTGGCCTGGGGTGGGGGTGGAGTCCACAAAGCCTGCGTGGAATTAGCTCAGGACATCCTCTCCCCCTAACAATGGCACCCTAGTTCCTTTACGCGGGTGTGTCCCAGCGTGCAACATTCAGAAATGAGGCGGTAGGGGCACAGCCCTCTGAGGGATCCTGGCCCTGCAGCTGCTCCCCAGTGCCCCAGCCCTGTTGGGGTCCCCTAGGACTTGGCGGAGGTGCCCAGGGCCCA